ATATATATATATATATATATATTTCTGTTGCTCTTCCTCAGTATAAATATGTTAATATGTGTTGTCATCTTTATATATGGATCCCTAATCATCAGTGTCCATCTCTGTTTCATGACTACTGTAGTCTGAAATCTATCTTGTCTCACGCAATGATGGCTGTCACTGCATTTTTTTAGTCTATGATTTGATTGTATGATTGTTTTTCAACCTTTTACTTTCAGCCTATGTTTATCATTGACATTCAAGTGGGTCTCCTGTAAACAGAAGACTGTTAGATTTTTCTTTCTTATCTGTCCCTTTGGTTGGTTAGATCAAGTCACTGGTGCTTAGTAAGAATGTTGATATAAAGTCATCTGTTGTCATTTTTCTACATGGATTCTGGGTATTTTTTCAATAGGTCTTTGTTCTTTTCTTTTCTCCTCATACTTAGATTCAGCCTTTTGTGTAGAGAGCAGGTCTCATTTGCGTCTTATTGTTTATTTCCTCTGAGTAATTTTGTGGTGAGGTTGCAGTGAAGTTTAAATCTTAAGTTTAAATCTTATATCCCATTTTAAATTTAAATCAGTGAATCTTCTGGTGCATTCTCAGACCCACTATTACTCTGCTTCTTTTACACATTTTATGTTTCCTAAGAACTTCCCAGGAGCATTTGCTTTCCTCTTTATAGCTAACCCCATAGTGTTTCCTGCAAAGTCAGTTTATTGGCCATGAATTTTCTTAACTATTGATTGTCTGCAAGCTTTGCTTGCTTATGGGAGTTACACCCAGCAGTTATCAAGGGTCCCAGGGACACTCCCTGCTTGCCTACATGTGTGACCTGGTGCTAAGGGGTTCCAGGTTCTAAGCTGAAGTCTGACATTCTGATGCATGGTCCTAGGAGCTACTTGGGGATCTTGGTAGTACATGGGGCCACAAAAACCACATCCTGCAATGTTCCAAGGCCACCCAGAGTTGTTCCTCGTGGTGCTTGGTGCTCAGAGGGCTGTGAGTTGGCAGGGATTGAACTCGAGGCCTCACACGTACTAAGCATATGTTGAGCTATCTCCATGGGCCCCTCAAAAGCTTTGTAACATTCCTTCAAATCAGGTGATGAACTACCTTGTGGGAGGTCTTTTCCAATCAACATTCTGACCACTGGAGTTTCAGCTGATAAATATCCTGTGTCGCCTTGTATGTAATCATTTGATTTTCTCTTGTTGCTTTTGTGATTCTTTCTATATATTTGAATTTTGTCCTATTAGTTGTGATGCATCTTATTGTGTGAATAACTAATGTGGGCTTATTTGCTTTCAAACTGAGCTCTCTGAATGTGGGCATCTGTCTTTTTCTTCAGTTTAGGAAAGTTCTTGACTATTATTTCCTCAAATAAACCCTGTTTTCTCTTTCTATTTCTGTAAACCTTATGATGCAAAAGTTTTCTTCTTTTTCTGTGATAGTCTCTTTTGTAAATTTCATAAATTTTCTACATTCTTATATTAGTATTTTCTTTTTTTTTCTTTACATGGTTTCCTCTCCCTTATTCCTAGTGGCAGATACTGTCCTCTACCTTATTCTTGGGCTCACTGATTTAATCTTGGTTTTTATTGATTCCCTCAATTGCATTTTTTAGTTTTAATCCTGTATTCTTCAGATCAATGACTATTCTTCTAATTTTCCCCATACTTTATCCTTGTTGAAGTTCTTTTCCACTGATTTCTTAGTTTCAATGGCATCATTGGGCCTGTGACTTTGAACTCATTATCATAGGTTTAGATAATTCTTATGTGCATGTAATTTTTCCTAGATTTTTATCCACATTAATCAGGTAATTGCCCCCATTGCTTCATTATGCCTGGTGCTATGAGAAAGCTTAGAAATTACTTCCCAGTTGCAGGGTATTGGAGAAGGGGTTCCTTTGTCTTTAGCCTGTCTGGTTGCTAATCTCCTGTTCCCCAGAGAGAAGAGGCCAGCTAGTAGGATGAAGGAGGGGGCATAGGAATCAGATGGGGTCTGACATGGCTGGAAAAAAATGGTTGAGAAATACTGGCCTAGAGGCAGAGGTATCAAGACTAAAAGTGGACTCGTAGAACTAGTTTTGCTGCTTCTTGGATGCTGAAAGGACCATCTTACCAGTGATAGAAGTGCCTTTCCCTAAAATCTGGGTTCAAAGTGTTGCTTTTCCTCGTTTTCCCATTTTCTCATCCTATTCCATACAACGTTATTATTGTCACACATGTGCTGGTTGTTGGGAATCTTCTTGGTGTACTCCTGGGACCAGAGACAGCACAGTGCTTCAGGCATTTGCCTTGTATGCAGGAGACCCTAATGCCCGGGAACATATATATTACCCCCTGAGCATTGCCAGGAGTGAGCTCCAATCACAATGCCAGGAGCACCCTTTAAGCATGAGTAGGCACGGCTCAATACCCTCCTCACGCCCACACATACATACTCAAAGTGTGTTCACGTCCATGGGTGACCTGGTCTTGGACTTGCGGTTGTATAGCTGTCCTGGAAGACCCAGGAGCAGGTCATGACCCCATAGATGCCAGTCTTAGAAAGTCCCAATCCAGGTCCTCAGGGAGTACTGAGGAGAGTCCGAAGTGGTAATGAAGAATCTTTATCTCTGTTTCTACTTGATTGGTCAGTGGAGTGTTATCTTTGAAGATACTGTTAGCCTCAACATCATGGAGGGTTTTGCCGACCTTGTCTTCAATGTACCTTACGGATTTTGGCCTGATGTTGAGATCTTTAATCCATTTTGATCTGACTTTTGTGCATGGTGTTAAGTAGAGATCTAAGTCCATTTTTTTGCATGTGGTTGTCCAGTTATGCCAGCACCATTTGTTAAAGAGGCTTTCCTTGCTCCACTTCACATTTCTTGCTCCCTTATCAAAGATTAGACGTTCACACATTTGGGGTTGTGTGTACAGATATTCCACCCTGTTCCATTGGTCTGCGGCCCTGCCTTTGTTCCAGTACCATGCTGTTTTAATTAGGTAATGAAGAATGTAAGAGTGAGCTCGGCTTTAGAAATGAAGAAGGCTGTGTAACTGAAACCCAAGCACAAAAATTTGTAAGTCTACAACTGTACCTCATGGAGTTTCATTAACAATAAAAAATAAATAAATAAATAAATAAATAAAAATTTAAAAAATTTAAAAAAATAAAAGCAAGCAAATAAACAACAACAACAAAAAAGAAACGAAGAAGGATCATTCCCCACAGTGGAGAAAGGAAGTGAAAAATCTGGTGACCATCTAAAATTATTTGGGTTATCTTCTTGCCTCTTCTGTTGCTTTTTGATAACATCTTGTTCTTTTCTCATGTTTTCACAAAATATCTTCAAACATGAGCATATGGTGTTGTTATAGTTTGTCTGCTAAGGAGCATCTGCATCTTTGGATACCCGACTCAACCTGGGTAGATTGTTTCCTCCCAACTTAACACTTTGATTCTCTGAGCTCCAGCTCAGCTAAGGCTGATCTGGAGGATGTTTGTGTTTGGCCAGTTTCAGTCTTAACCCTTCAGCATAATTCAACTCTAAACCCATGTTAGGTCAGGCCACATGCTCAGGGGGGAACATTTGTCTTTGTTCATCGTTCAAAGAAAGGCAGGTTGTTTTCCCCTTGGCCACTGTCGGTTTAAACTTATTTACATTGGCCATCTACTTGCCTGAGCCTTTGGAGGAAAAGTCTATGGAGGTCTCACTTTTAACTTCCTGTCTTTCCTGACACCCAAGGACAGTAGAGACAAGGGCCAGGGATATTGCTCCATGGTTGGCAGCCTATCTCATGAGCTGGGGGAGAAGGCAGCTGGAATAGAGAAGGGATCACTAAGTCAATGATGGTTGGAGGGATCGTTCGGGATGGGAGATGTGTGCTGAAAGTAGATAAAGAGCCAAACATGATAGCTTCTCAGTATCCGTATTGCAAACCATAATGCCCAAAAGTAGAGAGCAAGATGGGGGAAATTGTCTCCCATAGAGGCATGGGAAGGATTGGAAAGTGGGGATATACTGGAGACATTGGTAGTGAAGAATGTGCACTGGTGGAGAGATGGGTTTTTGATCATTGTATGACTGCAACTTAAACATGAAAATTTTGAAACTGTATCTCACGGTGATTCAATAAAATGAAAAAAAACTTCCTATCTCTCGGGAAGACAAAGACTAATTAATCCCCATCTATCTTTGCAACTTCCACTGTGCATCCTGCCCTTGAGTTTAGTCTCAGCTCTCATAAATTTAATGGATACCTACAGAGTGTTGTTATGTGTGGCTCAGCATTTCTCCTGGTTTGTGGCACAGGAGGTGGATTTATGACCCCCGGGATACTGCTGACAAAGAGGTTTATAGGTTGGTACGAAGGTAGGGAAGCAGCACGTGAGAAACAAACCAACAAATGCCTCTGCTTTCTCAATGAGTTGGGCATGAAGCTCCCTGCCTTGAGAAAAGGAAGAATATCCCTGAGGTCTCCAAATATCCGTGAAAGTTTACAATCACTGGGGTCATAGGAACCTGGAAGAAATCTGCAGATTCCTTAGCAACAGCAAAGATCCTACCTTCATTGATGAAGGTCTTTGTGTCTGGAAGTGATAGAGAAAGAGTCTAGGAGGAAAAGCACCTCCCTTGAGGGCACCCTTTTGCAGCTAGCCTGCACCCCTGTATTCTCGAGCTGGGGCGTACATCCCAGTTCCCGACTACCCACCAAAAGAAGAACAAACATGAACAGACTCCCCCACATGGATACCTACAGGGTGTTGTTATGTCATGTTGTTACAACATGAACATGAACAGAGCCCAGTGGCCCTTTTTTCTTCAGGCTCATTCATCACTTCTCTGACACCTTCCCTCTCTTTAATAGGCAATATATTTTTTTCCAACAAGTTCTTTACACTTTAATCTCAGAGAGGCCCTCTTGCTGATTTAACTGAGTTTATTAGCAGGGGAAAGAAAAAAACAAACAAAAAAATGAGAAGGCTGATTTGCCAAATAGACCATATTCCTTTTGTGTTTCCAGTTCCTGCTATGATCACCTCCTATCCAAACACCACCCTGGCCACCCAGGGCCAGAAGAAGGAAATGAGCTGCACAGCTCATGGGGAAAAGCCCATCATAGTCCGCTGGGAGAAGGAGGACCGCATCATCAACCCTGAGATGGCCCGCTACCTGGTGTCCACCAAAGAGGTGGGCGAGGAGGTGATTTCTACCCTGCAGGTGAGTGGACGGCCTCTGAGGCTAGGATCTGACTGTGTACTCCTGTCTATCCCTTGAGTGGAAGCTAGTAGGACGAACAGGCAACCCCACTGGGATTTATTTATGAAGCACCATTTCTCTCCTCCACTCAGCTAGATTCCTCGGTAGCCTATAAAAAGAGCTCTGGATCATACATTATTAAGAGTAAAAGTGTCAGGAACACAGTGGGGACCCCAGCTGCAATGAAAATGTGAGAGTCTCCTGACAGCTGACCCTAGAGGGACGACCATGGGCCCGCTCAGACGTCCTGTAGAAGGAAAAATTGAATGAACTTTGGGACCAAAAAATACTAGGAGGAAAAGGATCCTCTAATTCTTTAGGGCAATGCCACCTAAAACAAAATTATTTCCTATAGCATCACAGAAGCTAGAAAAAAGCATCGTCTTATATTGTGGGCAGCATTGGAAGCCTTGGCACACACGTGGAGACAAAGCCTTGTGTTTGAAGCACTGGTGTTGATTCACTCCCAGGGTCCCATTCTGCGTGATGTATATGTGTGCGTGTGATGTGTGTATGTGTGCATGTGTGTATGGGTGCATGTGTATATATGTGTGTGTATGAATGTGTGTGATGTGTGTATGTATTTGTATGTATGTACATTTGTGTGTATGTGTGTGAGTTCATATGTGTATGTATGTGTGCATGTGTGCATGTGCATTTATGTGTGTATGTATGTATATGTGTATGTGTGTGATGTGTATATATGCGTATGTGTATGTATGTGTGACATGTGTATGTGTGTGATGTGTGTTTGTGTGTATTTGTGTGTTTGTGTGTATTTGTGTATATATATGTGCATTTGTGTGTATGTGCATTTATGTATGTGTGTATGTATGTGTGTATGTATGTGTGTATATATGTGTATGTGTGTATGTGTATGATGTGTGTGATGTGTGTATGTGAGTATATATATGTATGTGTGTATTTGTGTATATGTGTATTTGTGTATATGTGTCTATATGTATATGTGAGCATTTGTGAGTATGTGTGTATGTGAGTGCATGTGTGTATGTGTGCATGTGTGTATTAGTGTGTGTATATTACTGATGTGTGTATGTGTGTGTATGTGTGTATTAGTGTGTGTATGTTACTGATGTGTGTATGCATGAGTGTATGTGTGTGCGTGTGCATGTGTATGTGTGTGTGTCTATCTGTTGGAAGGAGGGGGCATGCAGTGGGAGAGGGTGCTTATAGTCCATAGCCCCAGCCTCGCTCTCTGGCTCGGCCTTCCCGAGTAAGCTGGTTCCCTTCTCTTTGTGTGTAGATTTTGCCAACTGTCAGGGAGGACTCCGGCTTCTTCTCCTGCCATGCTATCAATTCCTACGGAGAGGACCGTGGGATCATCCAGCTCACAGTGCAAGGTGAGGGGCAGCAGCCCGGGGGACCACACATCCACACACATACAGGTCCAAGCTCAGCATTTATGTGGGCTTGACCTGCCACGAGCCGTGTTCAGACTCTCGGGGGGGAAGAGTGGTCATCGGTCTGGCATCAGTGCAGAGGCTCAGGGCATCGGTAGGGGCGAGTCTGCCAAGGTGCAGCCTCCACAGGCAGGGAAGAAACCCTCCGCACTGTGTCGGCACCATGGGCTGCCCAGGGCAGGCTTCCCGACCCCCCTAGGACCCCACTGCAATGGGAGACTCAGCCTTAGGGTTCTAGATACTGTGTGAGTTCTGGATTCCTCGCTGGAAGGTGATGCTTCCTCCTTCTAGGGTTTCCTGCCACCTGCGGGGGTCCCGGCTGGGAAAAGGGGCCCCACCCGTCCCCACCGTGTGCTGCCAGTAATGCAACACTTCTGGTCAGGGACAGCTGTAGGGGTTTGGAACTGGGGTGAGCCCACGCCATGTGTCCTCCAGCCCCTGTGTCTGAGCCATGTGGCAACCTTCCCTGCTCTTCCCGTTCCCTTTCAGAGCCCCCGGACCCTCCTGAGATCGAGATCAAAGATGTGAGGGCGCGAACCATCACCCTCAGATGGACCATGGGGTTTGATGGCAACAGCCCCATCACGGGCTACGACATCGAGTGTAAAAATAAATCAGGTAAGTCCCTGGCTTCCTCCAGCTGTCTTTCCACTCTGCATAGCTTTTTAAAATTCATTTTTAGAGAGTTATTTGACGTGTAAGAATAACCTGTCCTGGAGCTGGAGCGATAGCACAGCGGGCAGGGCGTTTGCCTTGCACACGCTGATCCGGGTTCAATTCCCAGCATCCCATATGGCCCCCTGAGCACCACCAGGAGTAACTCCTGAGTCCATGAGTCAGGAGTAACCCCTGTGCATCACCGAGTGTGACCCAGAAACAAAACAAAACAAAACAAAACGAATAACCTGTCCTGTGCTTATGGGAGACCCCAAGAAGGGCTCCTTCTGCCAGCATGGGAAGGGGCTGGAAGAGCAGCAGTTTCCCATGGATGTGGCCTCTGGGGAGATGGGCACTTGCAGGGGTCAGCTCTGCCCCTTCTCTCTGAGTCTTCCAGGCCTCGGGCTTCCCTCCCTCTGCTGCTTTGACTTTCTTGCCACAGGGTGGCAGTAGCCGCTGCTGACGGGCCTGGCCACACATTATCTCCTCCCCCGCCCCCACCCTCCCATTGCCCCTCACATCCCGTTTCTGCCATTTGGGTGATGCTTTGCCTGCGTCTGACCCTGGGCTGCAGCTGTGCCTTGTGTCTGTCAGATGAGCTATGTGGTGGTGGTTTGTGCAGAGGAAGGGGAACACCTGATACCCCCTCCAGGGTGGACAGGGGACAGGTGCTGGCAATGCACAGGGACGAGGCATGGGGCACTTAGAGCTTCTCTGCAGAGTCCCTTGTTGTTTCTTCAAGGCTAATGTGCAGCTGAGACAGAGCCCATCAGAGCCATAACAATTGCATCTGTTCCAGGGGACCGTCCCCAGGCTGTCCTGAGCCCTGGTGGCCCAGGGTGTGTGAATCGAACACCCCTGCCAGGGTCTCTGATGGGGATTCTCCATCATCTGAGCAAGGGGACAGACATCAAGGTGCCCCCAGTGAGGGGGTCTCAGGGACCCAGAGGTGATCAGCACTCCCGGACACCTATGTAAGGGCCACTACAGATCCCCAGGGTCTTTGAGCTAGAGCTGCCGTGAGGGTGAAGATGCAGGGACAGACACGTCAGGGGCAGGGGACACGTCCAGGAGGGCAGGACAGGGACAGAGCAGACAGTGACAGAAGGTGACCAGGAGGAACTCAGGGTCTGCAGGTTAGGAAGACCATGCACTAAGCCAGAGAGAGGGGTCAGGGGGCACACAAGCTGCCATGGGGCCATCTGGGGGTGGCGTGCGGCTAACGTGGCAGCAGGTGTCCAGTCGTGGCAAAAGGTGGCAGCCAGCATGGCTGAGCAAGGGACACAGTCACCAGGAGGCCTAGTGCAGGAGCAGGACTCCTGAGGGAAGTGAGTCAGCCCACCCTGGTTCCAGAGAGGGCAGCAGTCGGGCTGCACTGTAGAACCCGCGGCTCTGAAGCACCTGCAGCTGTGCAGGCACACGGAGCCAAGGCGGCTCCATCTAACAGAGATGGACGAGGAGGGAGGCTCGCAACCAGCACCGGGCCACACAGACGCAGGCATGGACACACAGACACACTCACGGGCACACACGCAGACACATGCATACAGACACACACAGAGACACACACAGACACACACACGCAGACACACACAGACATACACATGAAGACATGCACACAGACACACACGTGAAGACACACATGCAGGCATACACATGCGGACACACACAGACCCACACACGCAGGCACACACATGCAGATACGCAACACAGACACACACAGACATACACGTATAGACACGCAGACGCAGAGACACACAGACACACACGCAGATGCAGGCACACACATGAAGACACACACAGACACCACACACATACAGATACACACATGCAGATACACACATGCAGACACACACATGCACACACACAGACATACACATGCAGACACACGCAGACACAGACATGCAGACACAGACATATAGACACACATGCAGACACACGCAGACACACACATGCAAACACACAGACACATACACGCAGACACATACACACAAACATACACACAGACACATGCAGACACACACACACAAACACACATGCAGACTAGACACATGTGCACAGTGGGCTCTGGTGACCCAGCACACGTGCAGGTGTATGTGAGCTACCAGGCACAGGGGGCAAAGACCCTGGCCCTCAGGAGACGGGGGCAGGGGGGAGTCAGGGGCCTCCTGTCTCTGGGGAACAAACTTTCCTCCCGCAGCACCATGTGTACTCAGGGCCAGGCTACCCCGGGGTCATTGCTGGCATCCTTCACCAGCCCTTCACATCCTCTGCACCCTGCTCTGAGTCAGGAGCCACAGGCCCTCAGGGCGAGGACCCCTACACACCAGGCTGGGAGTCACCTCCTTGCATCCCACAGTGACCCCTGAGTCCCACCCCAGGCCACTCTCCCTGCCCCTAGCAGGTGCCCGTGATGCCCAGGGCACCTCTCCAGGGCCTCTGCCCTGTGCTCAGGAGGAGACACCCCCGGCCGGGCACCTCCTGGTCTCAGAAAGTTCCAGCAAGTGCAGACAAGCATTCCCCAGCCAGCTGTGCCTAAGGATCCCCAATCAGCCCTTGGCCCACCCTCGTGGCCAGGCCCGCTGGTGCCCAGGCCACTCTTCCTGCCCACCGTGTGCTGTGACACTGGAGGTGTCTGGAGCAGGGGCTGTGCCGCAAGGAGCTGGGGAAGAGGCCCATTGTCTTCATCTGCCTCCAGCCCAGTTCTTGGTTCCCAGGTGGACCAGGGCTCGGACTGGACGTCAGTTCTTCAGCCCGATGGAGAGGGGTGGGGTGCACTTTCCTCCTCCCTTCCCCTCCTGTGCCCACACACACACAACCCCGAGCCTGGAGCTGTTCATGGCAGAGAGGCAGCTCTGTAGGAAGGACATCCAGCCTCAGGCTCAGGCTCCATCTGGGAGGCTTCTTGCCTTCCCGCATGGCCTCTCTGCTCACCTGCAGTCCGTGTATTCGGGGATGCTGAGCTGGGCGCTGGGTGATAGGGGCCTGGTGACAAGCACTCTGTGTCTGGGAGGAGACTTAGCAAACCCGGCAGACAGGCTGGTGTCTGCCACCCCAACCTAGGGGTGGGGGTGATACCCCCAAGGGAATAGGGTGGCACTCCCTAGGGAATAGTTCCCATGACATTCCTACGAAGAGGGTGGTGAGCACTTAGGGGGTGCCGGGAGAAGGGGAAAAGGGGCCTTCCTCATCCTCTACCTACCATCCTCCATTCTGGTGACCTCCACAACCCACCCACCCATCTTCCCTTGCCTACCGGGCCCCATCAGCAGTGGGCCAGGCCCAGAGGTGGCCAGAGCGCCAGAACCAGGAGGTTCGAGCCACAGCCCGGGCTCAGCAAATGACCCTCACAGCAGCTGTGTGCTCTGTGAAAATCAGCTGTGCCAGGAATAGTGTTGGAATGCTGATTCCTGCTAGGGCGAGGCTGGGTTTTGTTTGGTGATTTTGTTTCTCAGTTTGGGGTTTGTTCGGAGGCCACACCCAGCAGTGCTCAGGGCTAACTTACTCCTTGCTCTGTGCTCAGGAACCACTCCTGGTGCGCTTGGGGGACTCCATGGGGTCTATAAGCCTGGGACTATAAACCCAGGTTATCCACATGCAAAGCAAGCACCCCTCCCTGCTGTGTAACTCTGGGCCCCTGGGCTGAAGCTGGAAGGAGGCTTGGGAAGCGGGGGTGGCCCACTCCGGCCTGTCTCAGCCTCTCCTGGATGGACAGGGTGGCGGGAGGCGTTGCTGGTTTCCAGGCGTCTTCTGGGCTGGGATTGGGTTTTCCTTCGGGTGCAGAAGTGTGAGGATCAGAATTCCTTTATATTTTTGTTAGTGGGTTCTCGGGTGGACCCTCTCTACATGGGCCTCCTCTGTGACCCTACCTGGGACCATGCATTAGCCAGTATCCCCCCCCAAATGTGGACAGCACAGCCCTCCCCTCCCGCACCCATCCTGCAGGGGCTTGACCGGGAAGCCCCCCCCACAGGGAAGCCACGGGGGGCTATACCTTCCTTCTCCCTTGATTTTGGGATGGAGGGGGTGGGACTGGAGGCATTTGTTTTCGTTTTCTTGGTTTGAATTCCTGTGTGTGAAGTTGGGAAGGCAGAGGGAAAAAAACTCACGTCTCTATCTCTTCTTTTTTGAAAAAACAAAACCCCAAAGACTCCTGGGATTCTGCTCAGAGAACCAAAGATGTTTCCCCTCAGCTGAACTCGGCCACCATCATTGATATCCACCCTTCCTCCACCTACAGCATCCGCATGTACGCCAAGAACCGGATCGGCAAGAGCGAGCCCAGCAACGAGCTCTCCATCACCGCCGACGAGGCAGGTATGTGGGGGGGTGGTACCTGGGTTTACAGGCAGCCCCCAGGATGCCCGCCCGCGGTGTGGGCACCTGCAGGTCCCAAAGGACAGTCACAGCCACAGCCTGGAAAGGGCGGGGAAGGGTCCAGCCTCCCTCCACGGCCCTTGTCTGGATCACAGAAGGTGGAGACCCCCCGCCCCGTGATGGAGGGGTCTGGGTCTAACCCCCAGCCAAGAATCAACTGCAGGCACCTGAAGAGGTTTCACTGCAAGACAGTGCTTAGGAGTCAGGTTGTCGGCCTGGACTTCCTGGAGCCCAGGTTCTTAAAGGGGCCCGGCCTTCCACATTGATTCTGATCCGATTAGTTCCTCTGGGCTGTGGAAGTCACTTTGGGCAGCTTGCCCAATGGCCACCCCTCCTGGCGCCTGATCCAGAAGGCAGAGATGTCCCGACCCTGTCCAGTGGGCCGGCTGTGGTTTCAAGCTGTGCCCTCCCAACTGGCCAGGAAACGTGCCTGCCTGCTCACCCTCCTCCTCCTCTTCCTTTTCCTCCTCCTCTTCTTCCTTCTCCTCCTCCTCTTTTTCCTCCTCTATCTTCTTTTCCTCCTCTTCTTCCTCTTCCTTATCTTCATCCTTCTCCCCCTCCCTCCTTCTCCTCCCCCTCCCTCCTCCTCTTCCTCCTCTTCTTCCTCCTCTTCCTCCTCTTCGTCCTCCTCCTCCTCCCACTGCTCTTGACTGCTCTCAGTCACCATGCCAACTATCCACAGCTGGAGTCCAGGGGAGCAGGCACTGTGCCGAGGTCAGTCCTAAGGGTCCCAAGGGTAGTAGCTGGGCATCTCTGGATCCCTGCACTGAGTTAAGATCACCCTGAGCACCAGCTGTTGGCCCTGCAAGGCCTCGCTGGCTCTTCCACACATGTAGGAAAGGCCCAGGCAGAGAAAAACGGCCCGGCTCTGACCGGACGAGGTTCCGGGTCAGTCGCCACGTGGGGTTGAGCAGAAGGAAGGGTGGGCAGTCCCTGGCCTTTCCCTGAGGCAGAGGCGGGGTCATCTCCCAAGCTTTGTGACTGCAGCAACAGAAGCTTCCAGAGCCTGGTCCCCAGCACCCCCCCCCCCCCAGCAGGTTTCCGGAACATACAGTGGGCTATGTCCTGGCCAGCTTCAGCCTCCTGCTGGCCACTGCTGCTTCCTGCTGCAGCCCTACCCTGCCATGGCCTCCCCCTGCGAACAGTCCCCACAAGGGTCAGCCTTCCCCTCCCTGGCCTGGGCCCATCTTGGAAGCTCAGGACAAATGTGGGATGAGAGTGAGTCGAGCTCCGGGCTGCCCAGGTGACCTGGTCCCCAGTGCCCTATTCTACGACAGAGTCCTCAGTGCCCTTCCTTCAGACAGAGGCCTGAGTGCCCTTCCACAGATGGAGACCTCAGCGCCCTTCCACAGACAGAGGCCTTAGTGCCCTTCCACAGAGGCCACAGTGCCAACCACAGACAGAGGCCCCAGTGCCCTTCCCTCAGACAGAGGCCTCAGTGCCATTCCAAGACAGAAGCCTCAGTACCCTTCCACAGACAGAGGCTCTAGTGCCCTTCCACAGAGAGAGGCCTCAGTGCCCTTCCCTCAAACAGAGGCCTCAGTGCCCTTTCCTCAGACAGAGGCCTGAGTGCCCTTCCACAGATGGAGACCTCAGCGCCCTTCCACAGAGAGACCTCAGTGCCCTTTCACATACAGAGGCCTCAGCACCCTTCCACAGAGGCCACAGTGCCAACCACAGAGGCCCCAGTGCCCTTCCCTCAGACAAGGCCTGAGTGCCCTTCCACAGATGGAGACCTCAGCGCCCTTCCACAGACAGAGGCTTTAGTGCCCTTCCACAGAGGCCACAGTGCCAACCACAGACAGAGGCCTCAGTGCCCTTCCCTCAGACAGAGACCTCAGTGCCCTTCCACATACAGAGGCCTCAGTGCCCTTCCACAGAGGCCACAGTGCCAACCACAGACAGAGACCACAGTGCCAACCACAAACAGAGGCCTCAGTGTTCTTCTACATACAGAGGCCTCAGTGCCCTTCCCTCAGACAGAGGCCACAGCACCCTTCCACAGAGGCCACAGTGCCAACTACAGACAGAGGCCCCAGTGTCTTTCCACAGACATAGGCCTTAGTGTCTTCCCTTAGACAGAGGCCTCAGCACCCTTCCCTGAGACAGAAACCTCGGTGCTCTTCCCGCAGACAGAGATCTCAGCACCCTTCCAAGACAGAGGCCTCAGTGCCCTTCCACAGACAGAAGCCTCAGTGCCCTTCCACAGATAGAGAGCGCAGTGTCCTTCCACAGATAGAGGCTTCAGTGTCCTTCCCTCAGACAGAGGCCTCAGTGCCCCTACCAGCCCCTCAGACCAAGTTCTGCAGGGCAAGGAGCCAGGCTCAGCCTTTGGGTTTGTTCCTAGAGGTCAGCATGTAGCTTCCTGTCACGTCTTCTCTCACACAGTGGGATGCAGAGGTGCATCCATATCACAGTCTCTCCTGCAGACCAGAGGGACCTCTCTCTCTCTGTGCCTGCTGTATTTTTGTGTGCAAGTGCATTATCATCCCCTTGACCTCAGAAAACAGCCCCCAAGCAGACATCGTCCCTTCTCAACTCCCCGGTGATCCTGTTCTCTGTCCTGAAGCCCCCATAAGAAGGAACCAAGTGAAAACAGATAATTGAAGAGGAAGCAAGACGAATCCCCAGTGACCTTGGCTAGACATTGTCCAGCGTGTTTCCCCACACTGACCCACCAAACTCGGCACCTGCTCCCAGCCCTGCCTGACAGTCATGTGTCATGCAGAGCCTGAGCAAGACTAGGGCCTGGTCTGTTTTCTTTACCAGTCTGTCCACATTCAGTGCAAGCTCCTAGAAAACTCCTGCTTGCACAGAATGGCAGAGAGAAGGAGGAAGCAGGGGAAAAGCTGAGCTGAGGGCTCTCCCGGTGGGTGACATCAGCCCTAGGGTAGGGTCCAGCTCTGTTCTAGTAGATTCCTGGGTGTTGAATTGGGGCCTCAGGAAAGGGCCTCGGGTGAGGACTGGAGGAAGGAAGTCCTCGACATGACGCAGGCAGCAGTGACCTGGGTGTAGGCGTGGAGGTGGCATCCACTGCCATCTCGAGGAAAAACCCAGGTGCCTCCCACCTGTGCCCTTGGTGGCACTTTCATTAATGGAAACCCTCTCAGGCCTCCTTGTTTCTCCTGCTTTATGCCTGAATACCATTTCTGGTTTCTCTGAAATGTTCTGGGATTACACTAGAATGTTCTAGAATGTTCTCTCCCCACCTTCTTTATTACTCTGCTTAGATGTTGCCTTCTCAAGGAATCCTCTCTGGGCCCTCTTTAAGGACCTGCCTGCTGAATACCCATCCCCTCTCATCCCCTCCATTCTAATCCATTTTTATAACCATCACCGTGTCAGGCAGCTCTGAGTTGTTCATGAGCTATGTTTGGCCTCAGAGAGAGAGAGAGAGAGAGAGAGAGAGAGAGAGAGAGAGAGGATAGGAGAGAGAAGGAAAAAGGGGAGGAGAGAGAAGGAGAGAGAGGGAGAGAGAGACAGAGAGAGACAGAGAGAGAGAGCTGGATCTGAGGCCCCTGTTTTCCACCATCAAACAAGTCCACCTTCCTCCTCCTGTTCGTCTCAGCTTCTCTGCCCAACCCTGCTCCCTCACATAGATCTACCTTGTCTTTTGTTATTCCTGTTCCCTCTTTTCTTCTATAATGTCAAGCACCTGGTAATAACATACCAATTTTCAAATTTTTTTTTATTTAGACACCATGATTTACATGGGTACTCATAGTTGGGTTTCAGGCATGCAGGATTCCAACTCCAATCCCATCTGCCATGCCAATTTCCCTCTGACAATGTCCCCACTTACCCTCCCAATTCCCAGCCTGCTCCTTGACAAGCACTTTTTTTAATTGAATCACTGTGAGATACAGTTACAAAGCCTTCATGTTTGAATTTCAATCATACAATGATCAAACACCCATCCATCCACCAGTGTACATTTCCCACCACCAATGTCCCCAGTATCCCTTGTCTTTCCCACCCTCCCCCTGCCTCCATGGCAGATAATTTCTCCCATACTCTCTCTCTGCTTTTGGGCATTATGGTCTGCAATACAGATGCTGAGAGGTCATCATGTTCGGTCCTTTATCTACTTTCAGCACACATCTCCCATCCCACACCATTTCTCCAACCATCATTGTCTTAGTGATCCCTTCTCTATCCCAGCTGCCTTCTCCCCCAGCTCATGAAGCAGGCCTCCAACTATGGAGCAATATTCCTGGCCCTTGTCTCTACTTTCCTTGGTTGTTAGTCTCATACTGTGTTACTTTATATTCCACAAATGAGTGCAGTCATTCTATGTCTGTCCCTCTCTTTCTGACTCATTTCACTTAGATGCTTTCCTTGTCCATTCACTTATAAGCAAATTTCATGACTTCATTTTTTTTTCAAACAGCTGCATAGTATTCCATTGTATAGATGTACCATAGTTTATTTAACCAGCTGTCTGTTCTCGGGCACTTGGGTTGTTTCCGGATTCTGGCTATTGTGAACAGTGCTCCAATGAACATACAAGTTCAGATGCTATTTCTATTGTGCTTTCTTGCACACCCAGGATATATTCCCATAAATCGTATTGCTGGGTAATATAGAAATTCAATTTCTAACTTTTAGAGAAATGCCCAAATTGTTTCCCAAAAAAACTGGGCCAGCCAACGTTTCCAACAACAATGAATTAGAGTTCCTTCTCCACCCCCCCCCCCCCCTATCTACATCAACCTGGTAGTTCTTGTACTTTTTTGATGTGTGTCAGTCTCTGTGGTGTAAGATGATATCTCATTGTTGTTTTGATTTGCATCTCCCTGATGATTAGCAATGTTTAAAAAAATCTATTTTTTTCTTCTGTCCTTTGTCCATTTTGTATTTTTTGTGGAAGTTTCTGTTCATTTCCTCTTTCCATTTTTTCATGGGGTTGGAGGTATTTTCTTGTAAAGTTCTACCAGTGTCTTGTATATCCTGGATACCAACCCCTTATCTGATGGAAATTGGGTAAATAACTTTTCGCATTCCACGGGCTCTGTTTCTTTTGAGGTACAGAAGCTTCGTAGTTTGATGTAGTCCCATTTGTTTATGTTTGTTTCCACTTGCTTGGTCAGTGGTGTTTCATCCTTAAAGATGCTCTTAGCTTCGATGTCATGGGGGGTTCTGCCTACATTTTCCTCCATGTATCTTATGGACTCAGGTCTGATGTTGAGGTCTTTAATTCATTTCGATCTGACTTTTGTGCCTGACAATAAATATCTGAGTTCATTTTTTACATGTAGCTGCTCAGTTTTTCCATCACCATTTGTTGAAGAGGCTCTCCTTGCTCCACTTCACATTTCTTGTTCCTTTATCAAAGATTAAGTGATCATATATTTGAGGGTCCATGTCAGGATATTCAACTCTATACCATTGGTCTGCGGGTCAGTTTCTAGTCCAATACCATGCTATCTTAATTACTACTGCTTAGTAGTAGAGTTTGAAGTTGGGGAAGGTGATGTCTCCCATCTTCTTCTCCCCAAGGATTGCATTAGCTATTTATGGGAGTTTATTGTTCCATATGAATTTCAGGAGTGTTTTTCCTATTTCTTTGAAAAGGGTCATGGTTATCCTTATAGAGACTGCATTGAGTCTGTATACAGCTTTGGGGAGTGTTGCCATTTTGACAATGTTAATTCTCCTGATCCACGAGCAGGAGATACGTCTCCATTTCCTAGTGTCCTCTTTTATTTCTTGTAGTAGTAGTATTTTGTAGTTTTCTTTGCACAGGCTCCTAACCTGTACAAAGGTGAAGAAACTTTAGCTAAGCTGATTCCAAGGTACTCGATTTTCTGAGGCACTATTGTGAACAGGATTGTTTTTTTTTAATCTCTTTCATCTCTTTCATTATTTGTATATAGGAAAGTCATGGACTTTTGGGTGTTGATTTTGTGATATGATAGACATATATTTGTTTGGTAGTTTGAGTTTCTGCTTTCAGTTTTGTTGGTTCTATGGTTTCAATATATGATTAAACAAAACCTCTTTACCACCAGAGTATTTGAAGGCCTTGTACCTATCCCTGTTTCCTTCCATCTATCTCTTCTTTCATCCCCCCTACCGTTTTTCTCCTTCTTATCCTTAGCCTAGGTTCCAAGGTGTTTAGGTATCCCATTTGCATGCTTTGCTTTCCCTGGTCTTGTTCCTTATTATTCCATACAACAAAGATAAGTAAGCACATTTGATATTCATCTTTCCTCCTCTTACTTCACTCAGCATGAGACTCTCGATTTCCATCCAAGTTGCAGCAAATTGCATGAGTTTATCCTTCTTTGTGGGTGTGTAGTATTCCATTGTATATAAATGATGTGTATTTTATGGGAAACAGACACAATGAGATATCATCTCACACCAGTGAGAGTGGCACGTTCCAAAACAATCTGTGTTGGCGGGGAGGTGGTGGTGAAGGAACTCTCTCTCTCTCTCTCTCTCTCTCTCTCTCTCTCTCTCTCTCGGTGGGAATGTCCTCTGGTTCAAACCCTGTGGAAAAAAGTACGTAGATTTCTCAGAAAAGTCAAAACAGAATTACCCTGTGACCCAGCACTGTCGCTTCTGGGTACATAATCCCAGGACACAAAAACATTCATTCCAAAGATCACGTGCATTCCACTATTCATGTCATTCCTGGCTATCTCCACTTTCATTTATTGAGCCTGTGGATTTATGCCACCATAGAAAGAAACCCAAAGAAAAAATTTAAGTGGCAGCAGCCTTTGAGCCCGACACAGAGATGCTAACTCCCCAACCTGGTATGACTGATTCCCGTCTTGGTCTCTCTCTGACAGAGCAAACTGTGTTCTGAGTCCTGCAGCCCCTCACCTGGCATTTATTGGGCTGCTCCTTCATCCACAGGCCTTTCACGATCAGTTTACACTCATACCCCTGATTTCTCAGCTCTCCCCACGTGCTCCTGTAGAAACGGCCCTGGTGCCGGTCAGCGTGATGGCCACCCGTGCAGGCCCCCATCAGAGACGCCTCTAAACTTCCCTCTGGCCTCCACGTCACCCCCTGGTCCATAGCCCCGTCCTTCAGGGGGAGTAGGGAGCCTCTTGGTAGATCTCAAGACCACACCTCTACACGGCACAGCAATTTCAAATGTGTCTGGGTTGATGGTAACCGGATGAAGCTGGGTTCAGAGCTGTGTTAGGCCAGTGAGCTGCTCTCTGCCGCCCTTCTGTGTTGGCCCTGCCCCCCCCCCCCCATGGCCAGCCCTGGGGTTCCAGACGTTTACTAGAAAGAGGGGAGATCGAGCGATGTCAGGGGACAGAGGCCAGCGGGCTTCCTGCCTTCCCACCCTAATTCCTCCACATCATGGTATTGAACCAGACATCCACGGAGCCACACGTGATCACACACACACACACACACACACACACACACACACACACGCACACACACTTTCACAGTGCTGCACCACTCTGAGGAGGGCCCCAACTCCAAAAAGAGGAGGCAAGGGCAGGAAATACAGGAGCTGCTGCTCTGGTGTCTCCTACTCCAGTTCACACCGGCCCCTTCTGGAAGGCTGCAGGGGAATCACTGCCCACCCCAAAGCACTGACCCCACAATGGGGAACGCCACAGCCACACTGCGGCCACTCGCCATGGCTGCCACCTCACGACCGGCCCAGCCCCTGGGACTCCATCTCAGCTGCCTGTGGCTTTTGGTTTTGCAGCTCCTGACGGGCCCCCTCAGGAAGTCCACCTGGAGCCCATCTCGTCCCAGAGCATCAGGGTGACCTGGAAGGTAAGGGGAGCAGGCACTCCGGTGTGCCATGCGGGAGGATGTGGGCATTTGCGGGGGTAGGGCAGGGTCAGGAGGTCACTCAGCTAAGTGCCAAGACACGAACATCTTCTGAAATCTTGTTTTCTGAAAAGTCCCTAAAAAGACCCTAAGACACCCCCCACTGGCCTCCCCACCCAACAAAACCCACCGTGATGACCTTTCCAGCACTTTCTACGGCTGTCGCCAGTGGGCCGGTGGGCAATCTCCTTGTTCCCTGAAGCTGAGCGAGGCCCAAGCTGGGCTTCCAAGAAACTGTGACGGCCCGTGGCCCACCTGCTCCCTTCCGGTCAGGCCAACCATGGCCACTGCTGAAGGCTGTCCTGGGGGCAGCCACACGGGGGCCAGACCCTCCCGGTCCTCACCATGACACTGAGTGGCAGCCTGTCCCATGGCATAGGGACAAGGTGCTGTCCCTGGGGCGTGCCCTTGGGGGAGACTGGGCTGGGAGGGAGGCAGCTGGGGTCGTGGGTACAGGCAGCTGCCCCCATGGGCAGCATGGTGTGTGGGCGCTGCTGACCACTCACTGGTGTCACTGAGGGGGAAATTTGGCTACCCCGAAGACCAGGGCGGCACTGTCAGAGGACCCACCAACAGGAAGCTGGGGTGCCCAGTGGGGGGTGCTGTCCGAGGACCTGCCCTTCCTGCAGAGTTGTCCTGTTTCTCTCCCCTGGAGCTGCTGGTCAGGCAGCACTGCTACCTGTGCCCCCCCGCCCCCCCCCCACCCCGCTGGCAGCTGTGCTCCAGCCCCGGAGAACTATGCCCGCGGGCACACGCCCTGCTCAGAGGAGTCTCATCCCCAGCTCTTCTTCCCCTGGGCACGGGCACCTCTGCCAGGCCTGGCTGCTGGCCCCAAGCCTTCTGCCCCGCAGGCCTCCCTCAAGGAAGCTGTGCAGAGCTCCTGTTTCATATGAGCTGGGCTTCATGTTTCATATGAGCTGGGCTTCACTGCCTCTCTTGCTCTGTGACAGCACAGTGACATCCCCAGACCCGGGGACCTGCCCTCGGTTTTGTCAGGGGTTCCAGAGAATTGGGGGTATCTCATTCAGTAGGTTACCAGTGGCTGGGATTCACTGATGCATGAATGAAGGAGGTAGTGAATGAATGAGTGTCCTTGTGAGCGGGGAGTGATGTAGTTAAAGTGCTTCCATCATCCCACTGTGACATCAGAAGCTGCTGTGGAAGGGCTGGAATGTGGCTGAGAGGGTACGGGCTGTACCTCACACGTACGAGTTCTGGGTTCAATCCCTGGCACAGGAAAGGGAAGGGGAAAGGGGAGGGGAGGGAGAGGGTGAAGGAGGAAGGGGAGGAGGAAGGAAGGAAGGAAGGAAGGAAGGAAGGAAGGAAGGAAGGAAGGAAGGAGGGAAGGAAGGACGGAGGGAGGGAGAGAAGGAGGGAGGGAGGAAGGAAGGAGGGAGGGAGGGAGGGAGGAAAGGAAGGACGGAGGGAGGGAGAGAAGGAGGAGGGAGGGAGGGAGAGAAGGAGGAGGGAGGGAGGAAGGAAGGAAGGAAGGAAGGAGGGAGGGAGGGAAGAAGGGAGAGAGGGAAGGAAGGAAGGAAGGAAGGAAGGAAGGAAGGAAGGAAGGAGAGAAGGAAGGAAGGAAAGGGAGGGAGGGAAGGAAGGAAGGAAGGAAGGAAGGAAGGAAGGAGGGAGGGAGGGAAGGAAGGAGGGAAGGAAGGAGGGAGGGAGGGAAGGAGGGAGGGAGGGAGGGGGAGGGAAGGAGGGAGGGAGGGAAGAAGGAAGGAAGGAAGGAAGGAAGGAAGGAAGGAAGGAAGGAAGGAAGGAGAGAGGAAGGGAAGGAGGAAGGCAATGCTTCCATGGAGAAGGGACCGCAGCAATTCTTCTCCCCAAACCCCAGTCTGAAGACAGCGATGCATGCAGGCTGCAGTGACCAACCCCAGAGCACAGTGGGTTCCCCCATGTCAGCGTAGCAGACAGACCCACCTTCTGATCCATCTGACGGATGGCTGTGACAATGGTAGCTTTGGCCCAATACCCTCGAGCATTCCTCAAAGGAAGTGACATCTACACATCCTGCTGAACAGAAGCCCCCAGAAGAAACCAAGCCTGCTCCATCTCCAACCATCTTGGGAGGGAGGGAGGGAAAGGGGGCTGAGAGAGTTTGGCAGTTTCCAGCCCTGGAAAGACATTAACCAGAGCTTTACCAGGAGCTCCAAAGCGGGCACAGAAGCTCCTAAAGAAAAGACAAGTGGGGCCAGAGAGATAGCACAGCAGGTAGGGCATTTGCCTTGCATGCAGCCGACCCTGGTTCAATTCCCAGCATCCCATAGGGTCCCTGAGTGCCAGGAGTAATTCCTGAGTGAGTGCAGAGCCAGGAGGAACCCCTGAGCATCACCAGGGGGGTGACCCCCCAAAAAAATACACGTAAGAGAAAGGATAGTGGAGTTCATTTTCTAGCTCTTGTGTCTACCTTTTGAAGAACTAACAGTTTTGCTTAAGAAAACTCAATACAGTATATGTTTTTTTTCTGGGATTATTCAAAATCATAAAGAACCATAAAGCTGCCGAAGACGGGTAACCGTCTCTCTGACTGAGAGTGAGAAAGTGCTCAAGTCATGGAGGTCATAACATTGCAGCTTTAGTCAGTGTCCCAGGTGCCTGCAGAAGCAGCCTCCGTCCAGGCACCTGTCCTTCCCTTCCCGCCCATTCTCATGGTCGCCGGGCCCAGCAGCCCTAACCAAGCCAAGGGCGGTTGAGAGCCTTCCTCTTTGCCCGGCTCTCATGGTAAAGCCTACGCAAATTCAATTTAAGGCAGGGATTCCAATGAGAGGTCTTAGTGCTACTCGCTGTCTTGAAAACTCTGAAATTTCCAGCTGCTCAACTATGGCGATGCTGAAAACAATTGTCAAGCTGATGGCTCAGAAGGAAACAAATAGGAGGATTTTTTTTTTCCACTTGGCTTCATACGCTTGGACCAGGCCTTCATCTCGAATGAGCCATCTTGTGAAGGAAACAGGAATCCTGGGAAATATGGAGACGGAGTCATTAAGGAGGGAATGAAATTGCAGTGACCAGAAGAACACTTTAAACCGGGACACCACATCGCCACAACCCCCAATCATTCCAGCCTGTCCGTCTGCCCCCACCCTAGCGTGTCCCCTGTCTTCTGTCCATCCCCACGCACTCTCCTTCCGGTGCTCCCCGTGGCCTATTCCTTCTCACTCACTGGCCCCTCCTCAGCAAGGCTGGCCCTCTTTCTGGGGACCCCCACCCAGGATACCCCTTAGGCATCATGCTCCCCCTTCAGGGGAATTCCTGCGCGGGACTCCTCCTTGGTGCTCTCGGGACAGACAGACGTTGGTCAGTTCCCAGGAGCTGCATTGGGCACCCCACTCCCCTAGCAGGCAGAGGGGGCTCCCGGCTCCAACCAGGAGACAACAGCGGGGGGCTGCAGGAAGTATACAGGCAGGAGCTCCCCACTGTCCCCCTCGACCCCCCCACCCCCGCTGCAGACCCCAGCACATTTCGACTTCCTTCCCCACAGAATGCGTCTGGGTCCGAGGGAGGCTGGATCCTGCAGCTCTCCTGCAGGTGCTGACAGCTCTGACATTTGCCGAGTCTCTTTGCTTGCAGTGGAAGGTGGTGTGTGTGTGTGTGTGTGTGTGTGTGTGTGTGTGTGTGTGTGTGTGCAAATACCCCCTGGCTGGTGGTTTCTGCAGAGATGCTTTACCCCTCGCCCCACAGGGGCGTGGCCCCTCGTGCACAGTGCTCAGACCTCAGAGAGGTCCAAGGTCTCCCAGCTGAGCTGGGCAGCCCTCTGAAAAGCAGAGCCCAGCAGCCGACACACAGATGGACCCGGAGGGCACAGCTGTTGTCATGGAGATCAAAAGAGCTTTCTGGAAGGGAGTGGGGGTGGGGAGGCGTGGGCAGGCTGGGAGGAAGGGGCCTTGGGCTGGAGGATGAAAGGAAGGGAGGTTGTTTGGGATGAAGACAATGCCAGGGCTGGAGCAAGGGGGAGATGGACCTGCAGGCACAGTCCCGAGGGGAAAGGGCGGAGCTGGGGAAGAAAGCTCTCCACGGCAGGAATGTCCTGTGCAAAGGGCGAGGGGCCACCAGCACCGGCAGTCAGGGAAGGCTCAGGGGCACCTCCCTGCTAGATTCAGGGGGAGCAAGATCTTCCCCCCCCCCCCCCACGGTCTTTTTCCCCCTCTCTTCCCATCCTGAGCCTTCCCTGACTCTGAGCACCAGAGGGCAGGCGAGATTCGCTCTCTGTGTGATGCTCGGGAGATAGTTCTGGAACAGGGCCAGCTGAAGCACTATGCAGGGCTGCCGGAATGAGCAAATTCTCTGGCATCTGCTTAAAAAGAAAAGGTTGCCCTTGCCCCAACAAGCCTTCTTCTCGGGCTTTTCTCCCGTGTTGGGCTGAGACCTGGAGCTGCATCACCCCAGACTTCGTCCCTGGGTTCCACCAGGTACACAGTCCCTGCTCTGCCAGAGACCGCCTGGGAGGGAGCGTGCTTCACTGGTCCTGGTGCTCCCAGGACTCCTCCTCTCCCCAGGAGCCTAGGTCTTCCCCCTCCCCTCTCCTACAGCTGAGCCCACGCTGCCCTCCACGGGTGTGTCCTGCACTTGCGGGGCCGGGGGGCTGGGGGGGACTCAAAATCATCCACAGGAAACTGCATTGATTCCTGAGCTCGTCGGTTCTGGGGGAGAGGCTGAGAGATCTGTAGGCAAAGCTGAGTAAGAAAGCCCATCCCATTAATGCCGGTTGAAATAAACCCTTTGAATAAAACAGCAATCCACTTCTGGGAGGCAAATCCAAGGAATACACTTAAAAATGGAGGAAAGGGGGCTGGAATGACCGCCGTAGGAAGGGCGCTTGCCTTGCAAACAGCTGGCCCGGGTCAGGTCCCCGGCCCCCCAAATGGTTCCCCACACCCGCCAGGAGTGACCCCTCAGCACAGAACCAGAGGGAAGTCCTGTGCACAGCCAGGTGTGGCCCCCTAAAAAAACTAAACTAAACAAGAAATGATCAGAGAGTTTCTTCACACAGCATTTTCTGTAGAAAAGAGGAAGCAGCCCTATCCCCTGATAATGACACAGTGGCTAAATAAAATAAAACTTCTATGTATGGAATGCCGTTTCCCATGACTCCAAGCTAGCATGGTGGTGTGGTTGTAACCTCAATGTTACTTGAAAATAACCAATGCTGGATTGCAGAGTATGAAGACAAGTGTTCAAAGCCCACAACAAACAAGCCTGCAACTCCGCTTCCACTGAAATGCATCACGAGCTCTTGGCAGTGGAGGCTGTGTACTCGGGCTCCCCAAAAACAAACATTTCCCTACAAAGTATTTTGCAGAAGCACCTAATAAGCAAAAGGAAAAGCATTCTGTCCTTCTAGAATGAACAAGGCTAAAATGTCGTTTTTCTAAAAGAAGAGGTAAAGAATGAGATATTTCGGGGACTGGAGCTATAGCACAGCGGGTAGGGCGTTTGCCTTGCACGCAGCTGACCTGGGTTCGATTCCCGGCATCCCATAGGGTCCCCCAAGCACTGCCAAAAGTAATTCCTGAGTGCAGAGCCAGGAGCAATCCCTGAGCACTGCCGGGTATGACCTAAAAAGAAAAAAAAAAAGAATGAGCTATTTTTTCGGAATGAAGTTTGGGAATGGAGCAAAAACAAACAGCAGCAACAAAAACAACAACAACAAAAACCCTGCTCTCTCTATTCCAGTCAGGCTCATTAGAATGTGAGTCCAGTCCACCCACTGAGCAGGGAACAGGGGGAGATCAGGTGCCACTGAGCCGCAGGTCCTCATAAAGGTGAATTCTCCCACAGAGCCACATGGCAACCAGTGGGTCCCCGTCTGGCCAGTGGGTGTTGGGTATCGATACTTTCATGGAACCGTTGGCCAAATCTCTGCCTGAACCTCTTTCTCAGCCTCTTCCCGGAGCCTCAGATCATCTACCAACCTGGTACCTAGCCTCACAGGAAGTCAGTTGAAAAGTTAGAATATTTCATGCATCTGAGCCCATTAAAAACACCTAAGGATCGTAGAGATAAGGGCCAGGCGGATCGCTCCACAGCTTGGAAGCTGATCTCATGTTCTGGGGGGAAAGGTAGCTGGGATAGAGAAAGGACCATCAAGTAAATGATGGTTGGAGGGATCACTCAGGATGGGAGAGGCATGCTGAAAGTAGACTATGGACCAAACATGATGGCCACTTAGTATCTGTATTGCAAACCATAATACCCAGAAGGAGAGAGAGAGAGTAAGAGGGAATGTACCAGCCACAGAGGCAGGGGGTGGGAAGGGGTGGGGGTGGCGGGAGGGACACTGGGAACATTGGTGGTGGGGAATGGGCACAGGTGGAGGGATGGGTACTCGATCATTGCATGACTGAAACACAATCATGCAAGTTTGTATGTCAGTAACTGTATCTCACAGTGATTCATTAAAAAAATTTTTAAAAATACATACACAAATAGACCATCTACCATTACGTTGGCGCCACTGTAGTTACCTTTTTTAAATGATGTGGAAGGACCAGAGAGGGAGAAGAAAGGGTCACGCCACGTGCCTTGCCATGTGGCCCCTCTGGTCCAGCCCTCAGCACTGCATTCGGCCTCGTGAGCACTGCCAGGAGGGATCAGTGAGCCAAGAGCCGGACAGAAGCCCTGCACACCACTGGGGGTGGCTCCAGACTCCCCAGTCAAACAAGACAAAATAGGTTAAATGTCTAAATTATCAATTTGACATGTAGATGATTTTTACAGGGAGATTAATCGGATTTCGGTGACTGCAGAAAACAGTGTTTCTGACATTGAATCCCCCAAAGCGAGGATGGTCAGATCTGATTTCCAAGCAAATTGCAGAGTCATCACTCGACAGTGTCAGAGAGGGAGAAGGGAAGGGCCAGCCTCTGAGTGAGGGCCACAGTCCCCACCGCGGGGGAGGGGCTCCTGACCCATGTCGCAGCCAACGCCCATGAGTGCCAGGGAGCTGCTCCAATCAGGGGCTTTTACACATGACCCGCTGCTGGGTCCCGCCCCTCCTGCTCTGGGTGGGAGGGAGGGACAGGATGGGGGGAAGGTGCTTGCTATGCACTCAGCCAGCCTGGGCTTGAACCCCCGGCACTCCAGAGGGCCTGCCAGGAGCACAGAGCCGGGAGGCAGCCCTGAGCACTGCCGGGTTTGGCTCAAAATCCACAGGAAGCAGACACAGTGCTTGCTGCTGGGAACGGGTCCCAGCCAAGTGCCAGAGGAAACAGGGCAGGGCTCAGCCCTCAGGCAGGGCTCAGCTCGGGGTGTGATCTGAGCAGTCTGAGGCACAGCCTGAGGTGGGAGGGAGTGGGGGCGTTGGGGGGGGGGGCGGGCGGGGGCAGCTTCCTGGGGCACTCACTACCCCTCCACCCCAGCCTCCTCCTACTCCAGCCTGGGCAAGGACTGTCCAGACAGTGCCCCCCTGTCGCGTGTCCCACCTGCCTGCTCGCCCCCACCAGCCCTCCTGGCTCCATCCCCTCCTTAGCTGTCTGGCTTCCTGGCCGCACACTGCTTCCTCAAGCACTTCCTTCCTTCCCTCTCCAACAGCTCAGCAGCTTCTCCCAGCTTGGGGGACAACACCTGCACTCGACTGAAATGTGTACGGTCACAGGCGTGAGTGTGCACGAAAACACACTCACTGTGTACACACCTGCACACACATGCACACTGCACACATTCATGCACGCATGCACACTCACGCTGAACACATGCACACACATATATGCACACACACACATTCACACTGCACATCTTCATGCACACGTGTTTACACATACACATATGCACACTCATCCTCGCATTGCACACACATTCATAATCACAATACACATGAACACACTCACACATTGAACACACACACACTGCACACAAGTACACAGCCGTGCTCACACTACACGCTGACGTGTGTATACTCTCACATTGTAGATATGATATCACACACATTTTCACTACACAGTCATGCTCACACAGCACCCACATTTATGGACACACGCGTGCATACACGTACGCACTCATGCTCACAGCACACACTTATGCACACGCAGACATTCGTGCTCACACCACACACATGCATGTGCACGCTCACAGTGTCATGCGTGCATGTAGGATCATGCTCATTGCACACACAGGCACACATTCTCACATTGCAGGCACGCATGACACACGCTGCAGGCCCCACAGACACGTGTGTACAGATTCACAGCCACATCCCAACAGGAGCCAGACCCCAACAAAACACATGTGCATGTACACACACAAATACACACATGTGCACTCATACGCACACATGCACACACGCGCACACATGCACACATGATACACACACACGCACACACGCTCTCACCCCTCAGGGACTTGACACACCGCACATCCCCTGTCTGTGCCCGCCCCTGTGGTCTCTGGTAGCACCCGCAGACTCTCCCTGAGGAAGTGCCCAGCCTGGGCTGGGGGTGCCTCCCTGCTCCAGGCTCCCCTGCACGGCAGGTCAGGTCTCCCCGGGAGGGGGACCCTGAGGGGGCTTCAGTCTTCATTTTTAAACTGTGTCGACAATTAGGCTTCTGGGGAGCAAAGTTTCTGCCCTCTCCCCACCACACAAGAGTCCAAGACCCTCCCCTCCCTCACTTCCAGCCCCCCTACCTCTGCACTCCCACCCCATCATCTTCACGAGAGCATGGGCTCCCCTTCCAAGCACCTTCCTTCTGGAATATTCCGTTTCCCTCTAAGGTCCCTGGGGACAGGGCCCTCCCTCCCAGAGTTCCCTTCTATAGCCAGAACCCTGTGACCCAGGGACCCGGTTCAGTTGGTTCTGCCGGCGAATCCAGACGATCCATTGAGCTTCCTGTGGGCACCTGGTGTCCCCGAGGAGGCCGGGGGAGCCCGGTTCTGTTTGGAAACTCACCTCCACAGGGACGGTGGGGGGCTGCAGGCTGGTGTGGACACCGCATGGGCGTCCACACCAGCCCTAGTGAATGCGGAGTCGGGGGCTTGGGCTGGGGCAGAGCTGGCCGCCAACTGCCCACTCTCGTGTCTACACACTGGGCAGCCCCCTCCTGGGTGACATGACCTGCAGGCTGGACACCCCTCCCAGGAAAGGGCCACCTGGGGTCCTCAGCTCTAACCGCCCGTCCCCTGGAGTCTGCTCCTGGCTGCTGTGACCTGTAGGCTGGACCCTCCCTCCACCCCCAGAGGGGCCACCTGGGGTCCTCAGTGCTGACCGCCGTTCCCCCACCCCGAAGTGCTTGTGCCATAGTGTCTCTCTGTGTTGCAGGCGCCCAAGAAGCACCTGCAGAACGGGATCATCCGCGGCTACCAGATCGGGTACCGCGAGTACAGTACAGGCGGCAACTTCCAGTTCAACATCGTCAGCATCGACACCACGGGCGACAGCGAGATCTACACGCTGGACAACCTCAACAAGTTCACGCAGTACGGGCTGGTGGTGCAGGCCTGCAACCGCGCGGGCACCGGCCCGTCCTCGCAGGAGATCATCACCACCACGCTGGAGGATGGTAGGCAGCGCAAGGGGCCAGGCGGGGGGGGGGTGCTGGGGCGGACCCCCGCATTCCTCTTCTCACCCCCACCCCCACCCCCACCCCAGCCTTCTCTCTGCCCACCAACTGACTTGCCATCATCTGGTTGAAATGAAGGTTCTCGCTAGGACTGCGGAGTCTGACCAAATGCGGGGGGCAGGGGGCGGTATTGATTTTCTAAGAATTTCTCTCAAATCAATACTAAGGAGAACACCCACCCACCCACCCACCCACCCAGCTTCCAGCTTTCTGAGCCAAGGAGCTAGCAAGGTGCCCGACCTGCAGCCCCTAGTACAGAGACCGCGCGCCCCCTAGTGACCACGGGGCGATACTGCCCTTTGCACCAGGAAGAACACCAAGCTTGGCTCCCCGTTGATCCCAAGGAATGTGCTGGGTGACCAGCTGCAGGTTCCTAGGCTGAAGAGAACAGGATCAGCACCTGCCATTTGTGCAGGAGTTGGAAGAGGAGGTTCAGAGAAGCACTCGCAGGCTAGGCCCCTGGGCACAGGACACCGCGGGGCCTTCCTCCAGGCTGAGCTCTCAGATGCCCAGTGTGCAAAGTTGGCATGGGGCAGTCAGGAAGCTGACTTTGCATGTTCCCCCAGGCTGACTGTATATTCCCCCAGGCTGATTGTATATTCCCCCAGGCTGATTGTATATTCTCCCAGGCTAACTGTATATTCCCCCAGGCTGACCATATTACCCCACCTCCCAGGCTGGCTGTATATTTTCCCAGACTGACTGTATATCCTCCCAGGCTCTCCTGCCTGTTTTCTCTTGTGTAACCACACTAGGTTACAGGACTGAATTTGTATCGGCTACAGTTACAGTCCTGGGTTAGTTCTGTGGGTGCTAAGTGCATCAGTAGCTTGACCCCCGTGTCTAGCATCAGACTAGGACATACGCCGGCAAACACTGTGTAAAGCAAGCGTGGCTTCAGCGGTGCTGGCTCGCAGGACTCCCAGGAAGGAAGATCTGGAGAGAGAGGAGTTTGAGCGAGCTGGCCTTGCACAGGGCTGACCCTTCTTGGCTCCTGGCACCCCTGGTGGTCTCCAAGCCCACCCTGAGCACTGCTGGGTGTGGTCCCAGAAACAAAGCAAAAAAGCCCACTTGGCAGTGAAATACCCTGTCCCACAGTGACTTGCCATGCGACCTGAGGCCTCTCTTGAGGGGAGGGCTGGCCCTGGCCCCCCTCACAAGCTGCACCCCACTCTCAGTTTCACTCACCGAACCTGGCCCAGTTGTTCAGGTTTCACTGGGAGTGAGCACAAGGGTGACCCTGAGCACCACCTGGGAATCCCCTACCCCCGGCAAAAGATTGTTCTCAGCCCTACAGCCAGGACAGCCCCCTTAAATATAAAGCCGCAGGCAGGAGGCTGACTGGGGTATGTGGGGGTAATCTTAGTTTAATCCCTGGAGTAGGGGGTGCTGCCTGCCTGCCCCCACTCCAAGCACTGCCGGGAGTGGCCTGGCACCTAGGGGAGGACTCCACCCCCCAAAAAGGTGAAGCAGCTAGGCTGGAAAGAGACTGCCTCCCGGGATGTAAACCCTCAGTCACTGTCACTGTCCTCCCATTGTTCATTGATTTGCTTGAGTGGACCCAGTAACGTCTCCATTGTGACACTTGTTACTGTGTTTGGCATATCGAATATGTCATGGGGAGCTTGCCAGGCTTTGCGGTGTGGGTGAGATACTCTTGGTAGCTTGCCGGGCTCTCCGAGAGGGGTGGAGGAATTGAACTCAGGTCGGCCGGGCCAGTCGCGTGCAAGGTAAATGCCCTACAGCTGTCTATCGGTATGGGCAAAGGATGCCTGGTCAGCCTTTATTCTGAGGGAGAGAGTCCAAACTTATTTATTGTTTGTTTGTTTGTTTGTTTGTTTGTGGGAGACACCTGATGGAGCTCAGGACTTACTTGTGACTCGGTGCCCATGGATCACTCCCAGAAGGGCTCTGGGGACCCTATGAGGTGCTGGGGATTGAACCTCTGCTGGTGCATGCATGAAAGGGCCCCTCCCACTGTACCATCTCCCTGGCCCTCAAATTTCTCCTTTGCTCGCACCTCAAGTACCGTACCGCTGGCCGGCCTCACAAGGTGCACCCAGTGTTGCTCTGCTGACGATTCTAACCAACGGACTCTCTGATGGTTTCCGCAGTGCCCAGCTACCCCCCGGAAAATGTGCAAGCCATAGCCACATCCCCGGAAAGCATATCCATATCCTGGTCAACGCTCTCCAAGGAAGCCTTGAACGGGATTCTGCAGGGCTTCAGGGTCATCTACTGGGCCAACCTCATGGACGGAGGTAAGAGGGTGGCAGTGTGTCCCAGGGGCTCGCACCTGGGGCCCAGGAGTGGGGGAGGGGGCACCGCCTGCTCCATCTCTTGGCTGGTGCCGGCTGTATCGGCCGAGATGGCTTTGCTGATAATGAGCACTGGCCGAGTCTCTGGGCAGCACCCAAATCTGATGTGTGTCCGGAAAGTTCTCTGGGGCGTTCTCTTCCTCCTTGTTGATGGGACCTGCTTAAGCTCTGCAGTTGAACTTGGGGGAATTTTGGGAAAATTCTGAGCATCGGAGAGAAATATGATTTCTTACTTCCCAGAGAAGGAAAGTCATCTCAAACTCGCATTTTTATTTTCTCCTCCAGCTCCTCCTCCTCCTCCTCCTCCTCCTCACCCCTCTCTTCCTCCTCCCCTCCTCTTCCTCCTCCTCCCGCTCCTCCTCTTTCTCCCATTCTTCCTCCTCCTCCTCTCTCTCCTCTCCTCTTCTCATTCCTCTTTCTCATCTCCATTGTCCCCTTTTCTTCCTCCTTCCCTTCCCCTTCCTCTTCCCCTTCCTGTTCATCCTCCCCACCCTCCGCCTCCTCCCTCTCTCCTCCCTCCTCTCCCTCCTTCTCCTCCCACCCTTCCCCCTCTTCTCTCTGCCCCCTTTCCTCTCCTCTCCACCCTCCTCTGTTATCCTTGCTTTGCATTTTTATTTTCCTGTGCAGTCTTGGGATAGCACTGTCCCACATGTTCGGATAAGGATCTGTCTGCAGCTCGGGGGCCGGCAGGCCTGGGGACCTGGCATCTCCTGGAGAATGGCTTGGCATGATGGTTTCCAGGCCGTGGGTGTCACGGCGTCAGGCTGTCCCCACCAGGTCGGGCATCCCGGGCTTGGCCCCATCAGCGCAGACCGGGCAGCGACACGGCCACTGCTGGTCTTGGCTCCCAGCTCCTGCCCTTTCCCTGCTCCTAGCCCTGTGGCCTGGTGCCCAGCCAGGAGAGGGGGCTGGGTCCTGGAGGCAGCAGAGAGCTCCATGCCGAGTCAAGGTGGGAGACCGTTAGCAAATCCAGTGGTGCTTTCTCTCTGTGGCCACACTTGCTTCAGGCTGTGTGTCTACTGCCGGGACAGCTCCTTGGCAAGGCACCCGGATCGGGGGTGACAGCCACCGAGTGTCTGCTCAGACTCGTGTTGGGCACACCCGCCGAGCAATTGCTTAGGGTCCAACCTGTATGGCTCACAGAGCATGTGCATTTTCCCTGTGGAATGTTCTAAAACAGGAAGTGGAGGTGGGCTATGTATACATACCATAGATCAGGCACTGCACCAGCAGTCCCACTGAAGGGCAGGTTGAAGTGTGTGAGCCTTAACTTCATACGCACATATGCACACACATGCACACACCACACACACACACACGCACACCACACACGCATTCCACAAAGACTTGAGACAACCTACAGTGTCTGGAGGAAAGCCGAATGTGGCCATCTCAACCAGGGGACCCTGGTGCTCTGCCATCACGGCCCCTAGCCCTGGTCTCTCCCCGTGTGGAGGCAGCTCTGGATCAGCCACTCTCTCTGGCCACGTGCGGTGCTGTCGCTTCCTTCCTGCTCCTGTTGGGATGTTTGCAGAACCCACAGGCACCCACACGCTAACCTCTGACCTCCCCAGACGCTGAGCACCCACACTGGCCTTCATGCCCTGCTGCTGGGCGGAGGCCTCACTTCTGTTCCCTCACTGCCCAGTGGAACGTTCCACACTCGGTGACCGCAGGGCAGGCAGCCCCCTGCACATGCACCTGCACCCTGGTGTGGGCATTGGGCCCTTCTGCTTTGTCCTGGCCTGTGTCCCCAATATGGTCACACAGAACCCGGTCAGGAACTGTGCCTGGGATCACACATGTGAGAACAGATGTGCACACGCAGGCAGGCTGGGGACACGCTCCCCACATGGACACACACACACATTGCATGTACCACCTGAATCAACCCCTGAGTGTCCTACCTGTGTGAACATGCCAACAGTGCCTGCATGAACAAGGATCAGATGTATACACACATGTGCACGCAGAGAAAACACAATATACATACACAGCACCCACACCCACACAAACATGCTTTTGTGTGCACGTGTCATATACATACTCTATGTGTGTACACATTAACATGAATTCATGTATTAGACATGTAGACATATGCCCACATGTGTGCAAGTGTGTACGTACTCAGTCATGTTGCGACATGACCCAAACACGGACATACGTGTGCACTCACACACACACACACACACACACACACACACACACACACAGGCCAAAGCCACTGAACTGGAATCTTTGGGATCAGCAGTTGTCCCAAATATTTCAAAGCTCTGTTTAAGAAGCGTATTACGTTGTGGAAGTGACCTGGTCAGATAAACCAACTCATCGGCCTGGCAGGGTGGGTCTGACCCAGGGGGTTGCTGGGATTTACTCAGAACCCGAGGTCTCAGTCATCGCTGCCCCTCTGAGGTCCTGGGATGGCCCTTCGCAGGGCCCCGCCCCCTCTCTCTTGGTGGGCCCTGCTGCAGGGCCTCTCACAGGGCCAGGGGCGGGCTCCAAATTTGTGCATGCACACAGCACGTCAGCCTCTGCGAGGAGAAAGGGTGTCGGGAAACCACACACCATCACTTGGTTTAAAAACAGTCTCAGTCCATGACCAGATCCCTCAGACCACCAGCCCCTGCGGATCCCTGCTCTGCTCGGGGGCTGGCCTAGGCGTTGGCTCAGGCTCAGGCTGAACCTGAAGGAAGGACCCTTCCTTCTCGCCCCCTCCCCCAGGCCTGGCCACAGCACGGAGCGCTGTCCCCCACCCCATCCTGGCCCGACGCTTCTCAGGGCACTTCTTACTGATTAAGGATGATCCACATTGTCCCAGAGACTTGGGTGGTGACTCCTGGCCCTTTGGACTCTGGTGCTAGCTCAGAAGAAAGGCCAGTTCCCTGGTCAGTGTGCTCCTGGGATGGCCATGGGGCCCCTGAGGTCAGAGCCCAAGTGAGAGCCCAGCGCCAAGTGCCCCTCTGCCCGTCCCCTCACCTGGGCAGCGGTCAAGATCCTGCCAAACGGTCAGTGCCGTGAATCAACTCAGACATGTGGGCTGATCTGGTCACTGGGTAAAACACTGGGCACCCCCCATTAGCCCTGCTGCGTCCTAAAGCCCAAAAAGTCACCTCTGCCAGGGCCCACCCCTCCCAGGACCCCCGGGCCCCACCTTCCAGTCCAGGTGGCTGGCTAGCTAAGAGGTTTGCAGGGAGCAGGGACACCTGCCACCCCCAAGGCCCAGGTGTGGGGGAGAGGCCGAGGGATGCTTGTGCCCCTCTCCCCAGTTCCTACCAGCCTACAGCCCCCCGGAGGAGGGCCAGCTCCCCTGGGTCCAACCCCCACACTGTCCCGCATTCCCGCTCACCCGCGCCGCGGTGGCAGCTGCATGCACCCATGCCGGCCTCACACAGTGCTGGCACATTCTTAGCCCGGGCGCTGCCACGTGGGCTGTCAGGCAGGAGCGCTAAGGGGTGCAGCCCAGGTGACAGGAGGCGTGCATGCCCCCAGCCTGCTTCTCAGCGCGGATATCTGAGAAATCAGCAGCCTAAAAATACACGGGCAGGAGTTTATCGTGTGAGAGGTACAGCGCTCGCCCTGTGGGAGTAAGAAAGAGGGATGCGGGTGGCGGAGGGATGCTCTCAAATCCCCCGGCTTGCCAAGTGGGGGGCTCACCCTGGATCACTGAGTGGAGAGGGGGTGTCCTGGGGTGCTGGTGTTGATGAGACGAGACTTGGGGTGCAGTGCAGACTTGCCAGCCTCCCACACCCATACCCAGAGTTTGGGGAGAGTTGGGGGCTGGTCTTGAACAGTGTCCCGGAGAACCTGGTCTCTGCCCTGGGCACCATATTGGGGCAAGACAGAGGGATGCAGGGCCAGTGGCAGGACCCAGCGGCCTTTGCATTATCTCTGGGAGAGACAAAGGGATGCGGGGACCCAGTGCTGGTACCCAGCGGCCTTTGCATCATCTCTGGGAGAGACAGAGGGATGCGGGGACCCAGTGCTGGTACCGAGTGGCCTTTGCATCATCTCTGGGAGAGACAAAGGGATGTGGGGACCTAGTGCTGGTACCCAGCGGCCTTTGCATCATCTCTGAGTGAGCCAGAGAGATGCAGGGACCCAGAGCTGGAACCCAGCGGCCACAGTCACTGTGCCCATCTTCCACTTTTGTCTTCCAGAGCTGGGCGAGATCAAGAACGTCACCACCACTCAGCCGTCCCTGGAACTGGATGGGCTGGAGAAATACACCAACTACAGCGTGCAGGTGCTGGCCTTTACGCGGGCGGGCGATGGGGTTCGGAGCGAGCAGATCTTCACCCGCACCAAGGAGGATGGTGAGAGGGGCCACCGGGGAATGTGGGATCGGGGGGAGGAGGCTGACGGGAACTGTTCCTGGCCATGGTCCCCCACACCCCTTCGTTGGCTGGCACCCAGAATCCCAATGCAGTTCAGACCTCGACTTCCTGGGGCCCTTTACAGGACCAATCCATTCTTCCGCTATGCCCCTATAATTTTTTTCCTTTGTGTTTTGACTTTTATCTTTTTAATTTTTTTGGCCAGGTATTATTTTAAACCAAAATGCCTTGGCTCCCAGCGCGCTCTGGCTTGCCATTCCTGCCTTGTAGGGGCAGAGCAATTTCAGTCCACGTTCTCCATGAAGTGTGAGGCGCTTTGTCCCCAGCCTTCTTAGCTGGGTTATATAACGTCTACATCCCAGGTATCTAGGCCAGCTTCAGAAGCACCTGAAGACAAGTCTATAATTTGAAAACGTTATGTTAATGTTTTTCAGTCTTTTTCTGGAGCAGGGATGATGAGGTGAGTTGAACGAGGCACAGAGGTTGTGGGCGAGAGTCTTGGGTTCCCTGCTGCTGTGAAGGGCAGGACCCTTACACACCGAAACCACAAACGTTGGGGCCGCAGATAGTACTGTGAGTAGGTGTTTGCCTGGCATGCAGCCCACACACAGGTTTGATCCCCAGCATTCCATCAAATGCCCCCGCAAAGCCCCGCCAGGAGTGATTCCTGAGTGTAGAGTCAGGAGTAAGTTCTGAGCATCAGCGGGTGTGGCGGGTGTGGCCCCCCAAACAAAAGCCAACAAACAAAAAACAACCCACGATGGACGTTAACAATATTATAAACGTGACCTAAGCTATAAGCAAAAATTGTTGTTTTCTTCCATCTGGACTTTTTTTTTTTAAATGTCTTTCAAGAAAATATTCAAAACCCCTTTCAAGATTTTAGGAGCAGAGAAATAGGAGAGGAGATAGAAGGCAGTTTCCTTGCATGTGGCCAACCCAGGGTGAATTCCTGGCACCTCATTTGGTCCCCTGAGCACTGCCAGGAACAGCCGTTGAGCACAGAGCCTGGAATAGCCCCTGAGTACATCCAAGTGTGATCCAAACTTCCAAAAAAAATAATAATACTTAGAAAAAAAATTGATGGGGCTGGAGTGATAGCACAGCAGGGAGGGCGTTTGCCTTGCACGCAGCTGACCCAGGTTCAATTCCCAGCATCCCATACAGTCCCCCAAGCACCACCTGGAGTAATTCTTGAGTGCAGAGCCAGGAGTAACCCCTGTGCACTGCCAAATGTCACCCCAAAAAAAAGCAAAAAAAAAAAAAAAGCTGTAGTGATAGCAGAGTGGGTAGGGCATTTGCCTTGCCCATGGCCGACCCAGGTTGGATTCCTTCATCCCTCTCACTCTCAGAGAGCCCGGCAAGCTACTGAGAGTATCCCGCCCGCACGACAAAGCCTGGCAAGCTCCCTGTGGCATATTCGATATGCCAAAAACAGTAACAAGTCTCACAATGGAGACGTTACTGGTGCCTGATAAAGCAAGTTGATGAACAACGGAAGGGCAGTGCTACAGTGCTACATGACTTAGTAAAAAATTAAGACTCAGGTTATTCTACTTCAGATGAGTAATTCTGCTGTGCCTCAGTGTGCCCGGGATATGTGACTATGTCTCAAACCTGCACTAAAGATGGTTTCGCATAGTATTTTAAGGGGAAACACTGCAGAGTCGTGTCCAATCGGTGTAAAGAAGGAAGTTGGTTTCAAAAGAGATTAGAGCAAGAGAGAAGAAAATGGTGTCCAGCCATGGCAGAGAACACCTTGGCCAGTGGCGCTCCCAACTGGCCGGAACTCTCTCCTCAGGAAGCTGCTGGGGTGGGAGATGGCCTGTCCACTGCTCCTAACAGCCCAGAGAGGTCCAGGTGGGAGCCAGGCTAGGGACCTACGTGTGGGGGCCTGGGCCAGCCATTTGGAGTCTGGGGGTCACAACCCATCTTCTGCCTCCCTGCCTACTCTCAGGTTCAGCCTGTCCCCGGCAACCTGACCGGCTCCTCTCCCATCCTGCTGCCCCCCATGGGGCTCTCACAGCCTTACTGTCCTGGGAGAGGCAGACTGGGCTCCCGGGACTGTGCAATTTCTACTTTTCCCCATCCAGAGGAAGCAGATGCCCCGGGAGGTTACCAGTTAGCAGAGAGAGTGCAGTCTCTGTCGTGGTGAAGAGGCCTCGACTCATTCCCAACGTGTCAGATGTGGGCCCTGTCACCAGCTCCACAAGGCGTCGGACACTGTCCCATCCTACCTCTCCTCACAGACACATGTCCCACTTGAGGATGAGGCTTCTCAGAACCCAGATTTCAAGACTCATAGATGCAAACACCTCGCTTGACACCCGGTGGGAGGTTCCTGACACGAGCTATCTGATTATTTGATCTCCACTTCTTCAAAGCGGGGGAGGAAATGCTTCTGCACTGCTAAATGATAACACAGATGTCACTGGAATTATTATTTAAAGAGAACATTGATCAGCAACATAAATTTTGACACCCTCATCTTTCAGAAGCCTGGCTCGGAAATCTCACAGGGAGGAAAGGATTACCAGTGATGGGTGATCGGGGGGTCAATGTTCAATCCTCTGGTTTTAGAAATGGTGGCTTCTCACTCAGAACTTGACCCTGAGCCTCACAATCTAAATTGTCAATAAGTTATTCTTGCTTGCTTATTTGGAGCCAAGAATTTATCAAGAAAACTCGGCTCCAAACATGCACCAGGACACCTGGTTTGGTTTCGCCTGTTACCCCCAGAGAAGAGAGGAAGAATTTCATCCCATTTGGGATATGGAACAGTTTGATGAAGGGCCAAATGTCAGTATTTACTTGGGGTACATCATCAGCATTTTCAAAATAAAACAGAGCACATTGTATAACTGAAACTGAAGCACAAAAATTTGTAAGTCTACAATTGTACCTTGGGCTGGAGCGATAGCACAGCGGTAGGGCATCTGCCTTGCATGCAGCCAACATGGCCGACCCGAGTTCGATTCCTCCGCCCCTCTTAGAGAGCCCAGCAAGCTTCCGAGAGTATCTCGCCCTCATGGCAAAGCCTGGCAAGCTACCCGTGATGTATTTGATATGCCAAACACAGTAACAACAAAGTCTCCAAGTCTCCAATGTAGACGTTACTGGGCCCGCTCGAGAAAAATCGATGAACAATGGGAGGACTGTGACAACTGTACCTCATGGTGTTTCACTAATAAAAATTAAAGAAAGAAAGAGAGAAAGAAAGAAAGAAAGAAAGAAAGAAAGAAAAAGTTTCCGATAAAAATAAATAAATAAATCAGAGCAGATATTAGGGGAGAGAGAAAAACTGGCTCAGTCATCACTCGGACCCATCTGAGAAAGTTCACTGATTTCCAAACAGTGAGGATGTTACAGCCAGTGACATACACATCACTGCAAAGAGAAATCTGAGCATTTCTAGCAGCAGATGCAATGTGGTGCCTGCCTGGAAGAAGGGACAAAGACGTTCTCCCTGAAAGCATGTTTGCATCATCAGATGGAGCCTATTCACCCCACTTGTATACCTCCAGTGAACTCCTAGAAGTTCAACGTTGGGATTATACTGCCAACTTTAATCACAGATACAAAAATTTGGTTAGAATTCTACAACAGTAAGAATTGCTGTTCCTGATTAAATTCTTCATTAACAAGGCACTATCTGAGACACAGAATGCAGTGTAAGTGTTTGTTCATGTACCAGGAGACGCATAAAAAGAAACCTCATGCCCCAGACCACACATAGCAAGTATCCCTAAGCCCTTGGCATTCAGCACCCTGGGATTTTAAGGTGTGTTGTTAGGTCACAGATCATCTTTATAAAGCAAAAATGGATTTCTTGCTGGTGTAATAGACACACATCGCCACAACCATATCCTCAACACACAGGGCATATTATAGAGTCGAGCCATGCAGCTCACACACTACTCCAAATACATATCACCACATACACTAAAATACACCAAACACACACAGCACACATCACTGCCAGCTATACCCACAACACACACAGCCCATTATATGGCTACCACATGGCATTCACACCACGTGAAACACAAACCACCATAACGTTAACACCAAACACACACCACCACGGACCATATGACACACCCAACCACAGAGACATCAAACCCTATACACATCACACAATGCATGGACACACATCCTCTCCTGCCTGTGACTGGAGAGATGACTCTGACAGAGATGAGGCCCTGGTAGATGCGTGTGTGGTGTTGTCAACCACCTCACATCTTCAGAACAAAGCTGTGTGTGCCCAGAAGTCATACAGTGTATGGACATGCTTTTGCCATGGAACAAATTTCCTCAACCTGAGCCCTGAAATAACATGAATTCATTAGCCGTGCAGGCTGGCTTTCCTGAGTGGCTCCTTTCCTGGTGCTTAGAGCACTGCAGGCTGAGGAGAGCCCGACCCTCAGCTCCCAGGCCTTGCTATCCCTCATCGGCATGTGTCATTTTGTCCTTCAAGGCCCCTGGGGTGAGGCCGCTGCTCTCCCAACTCAACCTCCGTGTCTTTTTCAGGGCCTCGCCAGTTTCCAGTCAGGCTCCCCCAGGATGTGGTTCTCTGTTGAAGTTCAAGAACGCCTGCAGGATCTGTTCCCTTTGCCACACAGTGTCCCAGAGAGAGCACAGGGCCTGGCTTGCAGCCACGGTCAAAGGGAAACATGAGCTGGCCTGGTGCCTCTGAGGCAGGAACCGTGGGCCATGTTAGAATTCCACCTGCCCTGTGGCAGCTGATCCCTTCCTTTCCCTCCCATTGAGAGTGTCTGCCTTGTGCCTCTAGAACCTTCTTTCCCAAAGTGGGCAATGCCACCTCCACCTGTGGCTCTGGAATGACACAGGAGGGTTTTGACGCAGGCACCTTTGGGACTTGGAGAGCTGCTTTGTGTGTTTGCCCACAGGATGTAGAGTTCCAGAGGGACACTGGGTGTCATTCTGGAAAGAGAAACTCAGCCCAATGAGTCTGGGTCCCCCTGAACATGTGAGTCCCACCGGCCGGCCCCGCCCTGAGGCAGTCACAGAAAAGGGTGGCCTGGCAGGCTGGTGGGGGACTCCGGTGTGTACCAGCCCCCCCACCCTATTGGACTCTGGCAGGTGCAAGAAGGAGTCTAGTTGGGTGGGGAGGTGAGACGGGAACGTGGAGAGGGTGTAGTTGGCGGGTCCCCAGAGATGAGCTGGAGTTGACCGGGAGAGGTGGGAGGTGGGAGATGCTGTGTGGTGGCTGTTTTGGGGCTCTGCACTGTCTTGTGCCAGGGGCTTGAGGTGGAAGCGGCAACACCATGACCAGAACTCCTGAGCGTTTGCAGCATCCCACCTGAATGCGGAGGACCAGACTTTGCAGGGGGCACAGAGCAATGAGCACTAGCCGCTGCAGATAGGAAGGACGCTGGCCCGAGAGGACCCAGCAGGTGTACGGTGGTATTTCCAGAACACCGGGAAGATGCGCCTTCACCGAGTCTCTTGGCTCCATGATCACAAAGAAGCCAGAAGCGAAGTTGTCACGTGTCACCAGCAACATGCCCTTCGGGAAGTCGCCTGGAGGCACGCACAGACCCTGACCCGTGCCTGAGACACAGAGGCGCTTAGGAGAGTCTGACGTGTGTCCAGCCCAGGGGAGGCCATCAGCGAGGCCCAGGGTCAAGCAGCAAGTGGATGTGAAGCCACACTCTCCACCACAGCACCCCTGGGCAGCATTGCTCGACCTTTCCAGAACCTTCTTCTGACCTTGTTTCCTTCCTATGGCCCCAACCGACCTCCCTGGGCCCCCAATCCTTCATTGATGCAACTTTCATCTGTAACCCCCTGGAATACTCCCACTTAAGAAATCCTGATCGAGGATGTTCTCTGCATGAACTTGCAAAGACTGCAATAGAACTCAGAAAGTCAGCTTCAGGAAGTCAGCTTCCTGCTCTTCACGGCTGTTGGGATCACAGCTAAAACCTTCATTTTCCTCTTTTTTTTTTTAAATCCCCATTTGGAGCCATAGCACAGCAGGTAGGGCTTTTGCCTGGCACGCGGAAAACCTGGGTTCGATTCCCAGCATCCCATATGGTCCCCTGAGCACCTCCAGGAGTAATTCCTGAGTGCATGAGCCAGGAGTAACCCCTGAGCATCGCCAGGTGTGACCCTAAAAGCAAAAATAAATAAATAAATAAATAAAACAAAACAAAATTTTAAAATCCCGATTTTATTTAAAATAATAAGATATAGAAGTCACTATCAATATTAAATTTAAAAGGCCCCATGTACAAAGCAGTGCCACTCACGATGGTCATAGAGAAAGCTTTTTCTAGCGCTGGTTTTCCATGGATTTGATGAATTCCAGGAAATAATCACGACTGCTTTCTACGGAACAGCCCCTCAGCTCCTGGGTGCTGAAGCCTGTGATCTTCTAGAAAGACGCTGGCCAGGAGAAGCCTCTAGCATGGAGGACACCGGCCAGCTGGCTGCTTGCTAGAAGGAATGGACATCTTTGGCCAACGGTGGCATCCGTCCACTGTACCCTTGGCCTTCAGAGAGTCCCCGAGAGGCTGGGAGCAGGATATGGACATGTTGGCCATTGCCCTGTCCTGGGGAAACCGAACCCCACAATCCTTCAGACCCAGGACAACAGCGCCTTAGTCCCCTGGACTTAGGAACCCAGGACTCACCCCTTGTACATGGTCCCTTCCCAGTATGCTGCACTCAGGGGACTGTCCAAAAGCTGATGCCAAGACGATGGGTTTCAGCTGGGTGGCCAGTAGCAGTTCTCCCGAGTCCCCAGGCTTTGGACTCATATTGAGGTGCCTGACTGAGACCAGACACATCCTGGGCGGTTAGACGGTGAGGGCTGGAGGAGACCCGAGGTTCCCTCATGGGACACAGGGGGTTATGCTGGCTGGCTGGTCCAGGCCTCCATGGCAGGGCTGACCATCTCGTGGCACAGCTCAGACCAGTGAGAGCAAAGCCCGAGGCCAGTGGCTGCGACGCTCTTCTCTGGCCCTCCCTCCATCCTCTCCTCCTCAACCCAGCAATTTTCCAACCTCGGAAACAAACAGAGGACAGTGGGTGTCTGCATAAGTCCAATGTTGTCGAATATTGCTGGTGCCCTGCTCCACTTCTGAGGGGTTTCCAGAGGAGTGTTCTTTGTCCATTACCAGCGGCAAATACTCGCTCACCAGAACCATGCTCAGAAAAAACCTTTCTGTGCCAGTTCCAAGGGCCACCTCCACATGCCGGGGGCTCAGGAGATGGCCACTGCTGCCCAGGCTCCTCACACCTCGCCTGGTGTCCCTAATGCAAGCGGCATAACCCTGGTGCCACAGCCAACTTTGAACCAAACCCAGGGTTCCAGAGGGCCATTCTCCAGCCACTAAGAGCCAGAAATCCCCAGCCATAGGATTAGGGATGAAGTCACCGAACCCAGAAAAATGGATACTTGGTTGTGCTGGTTCTGATCAAGAATCGCTCATGGTGGTTTTCTGTAACAGACGATACAAAATATATTATTTCAGTTGTGATTTGGGACAGGAATTGGGATTCGGGATGGAAACATCCCAGATATGGCGATGGGAAGATGTCATGGTTTTGGGATTGGTGTTTGAATATTAAATGTAATCAAATACTGTGAACTACCTTGCACTGTAGCAGTTACTGTCCTCCCGTTGTTCATCGATTTGCTCAAGCGGGCACCAGTAACGTCTCACAACAAATTGTGAGACTTGTTGTTACTGTTTTTGGCATATCGAATACGTCACAGGTAGCTTGCCAGGCTTTGCCGTTCGGGCGAGATACTCTCAGTAGCTTGCCGGGCTCTCTGAGAGGGGCGGAGGAATCGAACTTGGATCGGCCATGTGCAAGGCAAATGCCCTACCTGCTGTGTTATCACCCAGCCCTTATAAAAAAAAATTTTTAAACAAAGAAGAAGAATAGCTCATGGATCCCTCGGGGACTGGTCAGAGTGACTTGACCCCAGGGGACCTCTCACCATCCATCGGCTGCAGGGAAGGTCCGGGGTGCTGGGTTCAGAAATCAAGCGGCAGCAGTGGGAATTTGTAGCTGCTGGGAGGAGGCGGAGTGGGCAGGGCTGGGAACCACTAAGGGGTCTCCTCGGGGGACGGGGCTCTTCTGGTGAGCCCATGGGTGGGGGAGGGAGAACTTGGGTGGGGAAAGCAGCTGCAGTTCCTGCTGAGGTGCGTGGGGGGTGACCGCTGTCCGGCCCTTCAGTTCCAGGTCCCCCGGCGGGCGTGAAGGCAGCTGCGGCATCTGCCTCCATGGTTTTCGTGTCCTGGCTGCCCCCTCTCAAGCTCAACGGCATCATCCGGAAGTACACGGTCTTCTGTTCCCACCCCTACCCCACGGTGAGTGGCTCAGTGCCCCTGCCCTTCCCGCAGCCCTTCCTTTCCCTCCCACCCACGGGGTACTCTGGGTGGGGAGGGGAATCATTCCCCGTTAGGTCTACATGTGGGCCCCCAGACTCTTGTTTGCTTCTCATGTAAAAAGATGCGTCAGGGGCTGGAGCCATAGCACAGCGGGGAGGGCGTTTGCCTTGAACGCAGATGACCCAGGTTCGATTCCTGGCATCCCATAAGGCCCCCCAAGCACCACCAGGAGTGATTCCTGAGTGCAGAGCCAGGAGGAACCCCTGAGCACCGCCGGGTGTGACCTAAAAAGAAAAAAAAAAGATGTATCAGAATCTCAGAGTGGCTAGGCCTGGGCTGGGAGCTTCTCTCGGGCGCCTGGGCCCAGGGTGGAAGCTGACCCACAGCCCTCCTTTGCCTGCCTGGGGCAGTTGGTGGATACCTACTGATTTGGCTTCTCGGGAAAGGCTCATCCAAGGCCCTTCACCTCCCACTGTGTCTCCATAGAGGAGGAGCTGTGGAATCAGCCCCCAGGGGGGTATATAGTGATAAGGGGTCTCTCTCCCAGGAGGTTCAGGCACCTGCTGCACCCTGCCAACTTCCTTCCAGGAGTGACAAGTTAGAGTTCGGGGCATGCCAGGGCAGGGGGGTTCGCTCACGAGTCTTCATGCTCTGAATGAGCATCATTCGTGCTCTCTCTCTCTCAGCCCCCAGTGTCTCGTGGCAGAGTTGTGGGGAAACTCAAACCACAGTGCTCCTTCAGAAGATTCAGTTGGTTTTGCTGGATGTGCAGTGAGGTTCTGAGAGTGCCCCCGGGTTGCCCGGCCTGGCCACCTTTAGGCCTGCCCGTGCTGCTGTGGAATGACGCCTCAGCCAAGAATAAGGATTAGGAGGGTTGGTTTTCCACAGGTTGATTTTGTTTGCATCATGGTCAAACATGCAGGACCAGAAACATTCTCTTCTTGCACCTGAATGTTGTTCGGGGGAGAGGGCTCCTCTGGGCAGTACTCGGACAACCAGGCTGATGGTCTAGTGCCCCAGCCTGGGGGCGTGGTGCTCATTGGGTCCCTTGGTGCTGGGGACGTCTGGATCCTCTCCAGTGTGGCTCCCAGGACAACCTCCAGATGCTCTTGGGGGTCCTGCTGGATCAGGTATTGATTCCAAGTCAGGTGTTCACCCCAAACTCAGGTAATCTCCCTGGCCCCAGGGAATGTGTGTTTGGGGGCACAAACCCATTCCTGGTATGGTAGAACCATCCCCACCCTCCCTTTCCAGAATGTTCTCTTCCCCACTTGGATCTTTCCCCAAGTGGGCTCACGCCGTCCTCTCCCTACCCCAGCCACTGGCCCCCACTGCCCTGCCCTGGAGGCTCATGTGTCACCATCAAGGTGGGTTCATATAAAGTCTGTCTTGGGGGTCTGGCTTGTTTCACCCCACATATGCAGTTGATTTATCCAGGGCTTAGCAGCTGCCAGAATTGTCTTTCCAGGAAGCCTGAATGCTGTCCCCAAATCTCTTGATTCTTTCGTCAATCCATCAATGTGCTACATCTTCCCAAGCCTAGAGGGGCTGGATATCCCCTCCCCCAATTCAGACAAGACCAGGGCATGGCTGCCAGCCGCTCCTTGGCTAAGAGGCTGAGGGGTGCATGTCTGCTGGTATTTCCTAGCTGCAGCCCCTTCGGAGATGATGGACTCAGGGTCTCCACGTGTCAGAGTCCAGAATGGTTCTGGCCTCAGTCCCCTGACACCAGCTGGCAGTGCAGAGAGGGGCCGGGGACCCCCTGTTGGAGGTCTCCCCGACACAGCACCACTGCGCCCTGAGAGCTCGCTCAACCCCCCAACACCAGGGCTGGCTCCCTGTGCACCCACTGTGGATCCTCACTGGCCAGGGCTGGAGCAGCCATGCTGGGCTCTGTTGCTTGCCCTGGTTCTATTGGGTCTTTCTCCAGAACCACATCAGATTCCTCATGCATGGCCAGCTCACTCCTGAGCAGTTGGGATCAGCCCCAAACACTGCTGGGGGTAGCCCCCTGCACCCTGCGAAAAGACTGCCGTTGGCTTATCTCTCCCCACCAAGTGGAAATCAGGGCCCCCTGTAAGCGCACATTGAACACACCTCGTGGTCCCTCTCTGTGACATGCTTTTCCGGGCTCCGCTCTCCCTCAGAGTCTTCCCTCCCTCCTGCTCACATCTTCCCAAGGAAGTGCCGTTCAGTAACAGTCACCTCCCTCACCAAACGAATGGGTAGGAGCCAGCAGGGCGTGGGGGAGCCACAGCTCTGCTGTCCCGGGCGTTCCCTCTTTGCTGACCACCCTCACCCGTATCTGTGAAGCTCCCCCGAGGGACCGAGGGACGGATGTGTGCTTCTTCCTCCTCTGTGGACAGCGGGTGGGAGGGGAGGGGGATAGCGGAGGGTCACGGACACTACATCCCTGGTACAGTCATGCACCATCAGAGAGGTCATGACCCCACATTCCCAGTACAGTCAGGCACCATCAGAGAGGTCATGACCCCACATCCCCGGTACAGTTACACACTATCAGAGAGGTCATGGCCCCCTCCCCTGGTACAGTCACACACTATCAGAGAGGCCATGATCCCACAACCCTAGTACAGTCACGCACCATCAGCAAGGTCATGGCCCCCCACCCCCGGTACAGTCATGCACTATTAGAGAGGTTATGACCCCCCTCCCCCGGTACAGTCACGCACCATCAGAGAGGTCATGACCCCACATTCCAGGTACAGTCACACCATCAGAGAGGTCATGACCCCGCAACCCCAGTACAGCCACACACTATCAGAGAGGTCATGACCCCCATCCCCAGTACAGTCACGCACCTTCAGAGAGGAAGCCTCGCCATCTTGAAAACAAGAATGTGCAGACTGATGGGTGGAGGGGAGCTAGGGTTTCCTCTCGTGTCCATGGAATGGGGGATTCCACCACTGGGACCTTCTCTGCCAGACCCTCCATGAAGGCAGAGTCCCATCCAACCTTTCAGAAAGGGTGAAAATGCGGCCGGTTCCGCCCTCGCAGCGTCCTCTCTGCTGCCTCTACCACTGGAGCAGCATGCCAGACCCGGGAGTGTGGACAGTGCCCACCTCAGCATGGCCAGGAGGGCAGTGCCCAGATGTACGAGGGAAGACCAGGCAGTGCCCGTCCCCAGACCCCACAGCGGTGCCCCTCTGCGGAGCAGCATCTGAGACCACAGCGCCTATTAATAGACTTTATTTTTAGAGCTGATTTAGGTTGACAGCAAAATTGAAGAAGAGGCACTGTGATTTCCCATATGAGGCCTATTTTTAAAATAAAATAATACCATTGCAAGCAAGAATCGGGGAGAACAAATCCCTTTCTCTTAGGAGGCAAAGATATGAACATCCCATCGGACTATATGGGGTTCTTGTTAGAATGGAATTAATAAGAAGTTACAAAGTGCCCGGAAAGAGGGTCCTTTTCCATATCATAGTTGGGGCAGCTTCATTTGAAGCCAGAAACTGTCGGATGCATTTCCAGGCTCCTGCTTTTCTGCCATAGAGACACCAGGGGGCAGCACCAGCCCTGTATGTGCCGCTGGCGCGCCCAGATTCTCCCCTCTGAAATGATTCCATGGTTGAAGGCAGAGCTGAGGAGGATAAATGGGGACACGGTCTACCCTGTAATTTAATCTTCTTCAGAAGAGGCCCTCAGCTCACCTCGTTGCTACCGTAACTTCTCTCGAGATAACCGATTTATCTCTCCAGTAGAAGGCACGGGCATTTTCTTTCATCTGCAAAATATATCACTTGTCTTTGTTTCAATCTGGGTGTTCCCTTGAGTCCTCTGTTAAATAAATTTTTTTAAAAAAGTGATTGAAATTCTGATTGCTGTAAATGAACCTACAGACCGGTCCAGCCAGGACCAGTGCCAAGCCAAAATCTTCATCCAGGGCCTTACACAGGGGAGGTCACTCTGGGACTGTTGGTTTTGATATGGGATGGTTTGAACAATCCCTCCACAGAACTACACGTTCTCATCAACAATCTAAAGGGTCTCCTTTCGGTGGAAAAGCAGGATGAGCTTTATCATTTATTAAACACTGTCTTTAAGAGACTGTTGTCTGACAGAGCCATCAATATGGGGCTGGAGACACTTTCTACTTCACAGAGCAAATGTGAATGTCCACGGCGAGAGAGCAGTCTACCTCAGCTGCACCTCAGTTTCTCTAGAGTGAGAAAAGCATTCTGCCTCAGCTTCACCTATATTTCTTCAGAGTGAGAGAGCATTCTGCCCCAGTTGCAACTCAGTTTCTCCAGAGTGAGAGAAGCATTTGCCTCAGCTGCACCTCAGTTTCTCCAGAAAGAGAGAGAGAGAGAGAGAGAGAGAGAACATCTGCCTCAGCTGCTCCTCAGTTTCTCCAGAGTGAGAAAAGCATTCTGCCTCAGCTTCACCTCAGTTTCTCCAGACTGAAAGAGCATTCCACCACAGTTGCACCTGTTTCTCCAGAGTGAGAGAAGCATTTGCCTCAGCTGCACCTCAGTTTCTCCAGAGAGAGAGAGCGAGAGAGAGAGAGAATATCTGCCTCAGCTGCACCTCAGTTTCTCCAGAGTGAGAAAAGCATTCTGCCTCAGCTTCACCTCAGTTTCTCCAGAGTAAAAGAGCATTCCACCCCAGTTGTACCTCAGTTTCTTCAGAGTAAGAAAAGCATTTGCCTCAGCTGAACCTCAGTTTCTCCAGAGTGAGAGAGCATTCTGCCCCAGTTGCACCTCAGTTTCTCTAGAGTGAGAGAAGCATTTGCCTCAGATACACTTCAGTTTCTCCAGAGAGAGAGAGAGAGAGAGAGAGAGAGAGAGAGAACATCCACCTCAGCTGTATCTCAGTTTCCCCAGAGTGAGAGAAAATCTGCCTCAACTGTACCTCAGTTTCTCCAGCTGTGGTTGACAGTCCTGTCACTTGCCTCACACAGTCCATGTGGCTGGATGTTAAGACAGGACTGGTCCAGGGTCAAGAAAAGACTT